CTATATCAGGAAAACAAAGATAAATCTCGCTCTCCCCTGCCAATTAGACAACCCCTCGAGCAGAGGGATCAGTCTAAGCATTGTGCTTTTCATAGTAACTTTGGTTATCAAACTAACGAATGCAGGAACTTAAGGAGGCAGGTGGGGATGCTGATAGTAAGAGGAGAGTTTGCAGGATACATTTAAGGGCTAGCGGTGGAGCAGGGGAACAAGTGAAGAGGAATCAAAAGCCGAGTTCCCACAATGCACAACCAATTCGGATAATAAATGCAATTCATGGCCAACCTGAGCCGATCGAAGAGTCCGACGAACTACTCCGAACACGCCTCCGCCAGCGCACATGAAGAGGAGAATAGGTAGTGTGAATGCTTTGCACCAGTAGAAAGCATCAGCACAGATAAAGTTTGATAGAACAGACCTGTTACGCGTTCAGACCCCTCACAAAGATCCATTGGTTGTTAGTTTAACAGTGACATAATACCTGGTACGAAGAGTTCTGATTGATCCAGGGAGCAGTGCAAATGTCATGCCAAGAATAACGTTTGACAGGCTTGAGATCAAACCAGAAAAGCTCAAACCCATCGGAAATCCGTTGCCGGGGTTCGATGGAAAACGGGTGAAGCCCATTGGTATGGTAAAATTGACAGTACAAGCTGTTAGAAAGGGAAAAGCTCCCATCTGTTTTGCTAGCCTAAGATAGCAATTACAAGAACCTCCACCCAGCAAGAATTAGGAGGAGGAACCTCTGGTCCAGACCGAAAAACCTCTCATTGAAGTGCAGATCGATCGTGAGAAGCCAAACCGAACCACAAGAGTTGGATCAGGACTTGCAGATGAGGAGAAACAATAATTAGTTGACTTCCTTTTTCAGAATGCGGATGTGTTCGCTTGGAACCATTCAGACATGCCAGGAATCAGTCCTTCTGTGGCTTGTCATTCCCTCAATGTAGACCCGAACGCTAAGCCCGCAAGGCAGAAGTAGAGAAGATTCATCCCATAGTGCAATCAAATCATAGCTGAAGAGATTGATCGATTGCTTGATGCAAAATTCATCAGGGAAGTTCAATATCCGTTTTGGCTTTCGAATGTCGTTGTTGTGCAGAAGAAGAATGGGAAATGGAGAGTGCGTATTGATTTCACCAATCTGAATAAAGCCTGCCTAAAGGATAGCTTCCCATTGCCAAAGATTGATCAAATGGTGGATGCCACTACTGGATACGAATGGTTAACCTTCTTGGATGTTTACTCCGACTATAATCAAATCCCTATGGACCCGAACGATGAAGAGAAAACTTCCTTTGTCATCGAGTGAGGAACCTACTGTTACAAAGTTATGCCATTTGGACCAAAGAATGCTGGAGCTACTTATCAAAGGCTGATCAACAAGATTTTCAAAAGTCAAATAGGTAAGACTGTTGAAGCCTATATTGATGACATGGTGGTAAAGAGTAAGAAGAAGGATGATCATATGAAAAACTTGCAAGAAGTATTCAAGGTGTTGAGGAAATATGGAATGAAGCTTAACCCAACCAAATATTCGTTCAACGTGGGTTCTGAACAGTTCCTGGGACATGTAGTCAATAACAGAGAAATTGAGGTTAGTCCAGCCCAAGCAAAAGCTCTAATAAAAAAGTCAGAACTAAGAATGGCCAAAGAAGTGCAAGCACTCACAGGTCGAATAGCCGCACTGAGTTGATTTATTTCTAAGTTGTCAGATTGCTGTAAATCATTTTTTGATACAATAAGAGGCTATGGAAAACAGGCATGGGGGGATGAGCAACGGCAGGCACTGACTAGCTTGAAAGAATATATGCAGAACCCTCCAGTCTTGTCAGCCCCCGAGATAAGAGAAAAGCTCTTTTTATACCTCGGTGTGTCCGGCATCGCAACGAGTGCTGTTCTGGTGCGCTGCGAAAAAAGGTAGGCAGTTCCCAGTGTTTTATGTTAACAAAACGATGGCAAAGCCAGGATGAAAATATTCAAAAGCCGAATGAGTAATCCTTTCACTGGTGAATGCAAAAAAGAAACTCAGGCATTATTTTGAATCCCATCCTATCGTCGTTCTGACCACCTTTCCTATAAGGGTAATCCTGTATAAGCCAGATCTGTCAGGAAGAATGACAAAGTAGGTCATAGAGCTGAACTCATTTGACATAACGGACGAACCCAGAATGGCTATTAAAGGGCAAGCGGTGGCTGATTTCTTGCTGGAATGCGATGTGGAAGCTATAGAGGAAGATCTTCGGGGTTCTTCATGGAAGCTCTTTGTAGATGGTTCTTCGAATCAAATGGGGGCAGGGATTGGGATCAAACTGTAGACGCCAGAAGGCACATCCCTGAATCAAACTGCAAATGCCAAAAACGGCGCGGGCCTAATACGGCTCACATGACGAGAAACTGGCCGGGTGAGTGATCTTGGTCCGAACCAAGCCTTCTCAAGTCAGGCCCAAGATTGAAGAATCATGCTGAAGGCCCGCTGAAAGTAATCAAGCCTATGACTAGAGAGGCTCGGAGAATGAGCCCAGCGTAAGGAGTTAGTTAGGAAGCCTCTAGAATGTTTATAATAGTTTATAAATAGATTGAAAATTGAGGGAAAAAAGAAAAAAAAAATAATTCTTGAAGTGTAAAGGTATTCTGTCAAAATAGAGAGAAATATCTTGCATCTTCAATTTGTATATGTGTATGTAATGTGTATATATTTGTCTGTGAGTAGGGTGTTTGTCTTTTCCATTCAACTCTAAATTTTTATAAATATTAGTAATATATCATCGATAGGCAAAATTGTAAAATTACAAAATTCCATTAATGAAGTAAACGGCCATCATAGTGAAGTGAGGTAGGTGGAATGTTAAAACCTAAAGGGGGTGTAAGTGGGATATGGTCAAATGTCAGGGGGTATATATATAATTAACCCATATATGTGTGTGTGTGTGAGTGTACGCGTGCTTATGAGCGTGAATTTTGCACACAAAACACACTATTTGATTTGGGGGTTACGTATGGATTAAACAGAAAGTGATGGTGGCAGTGAAGAAGTGGAGGTGGGTTCCGAGTCTGAATAGGATCTCTGAATTTCAGTTGGGCTTGAGAATATATATCTCTTTATATATATTAACCAATGTAATATATAAATTATTGCTCACAAATACATTATTTGATTGGGAGGTTACAGATGGATTTCGTAGAAGGGATGGTGGCAGTGAAGTGGTGGAGGTGGGTTAGAGAGAGAGACAATGGTGAGTCTGTTGTTTAAGGGTAGTTTGGTCCACTAAACATGAATTTTATTTTCATTTGTTTACATTACAAGGGTAATAGCGTCTTTTACGTTGTTGATGGGCATTTTAGTCACTTTGAACCATTTTTCTGGCAAAAAATATTGTTTTTTGTACGGAGGGAAGGTCATTGCAAAATGGGAAAAACCTCAGGAGTCACACTGCAACAAAATGACAAATCTCGGGTTTAGTTACAATTAACCTCATGAGAGGTCATTGTAGTTTACCCTATTTTTTATTGGGCATCCTCTAAATTTAAAAGACATTATGAAATGAAACTTGTTTGTATTAGAATTTGAAATATTTTTAAATTTTTTTTTTTAAAATTACACACCTACTTTGCTCCTTTAGACTTGAACTCTTACCGTTAACTTTGGAAGAGAAAGGAGATACCAATGGGTTTTCATATTTTTTTAAAGGGTTCATGATAATATGATTTTTCAAGTATTATATATGGGGTAAAATAGAAATAAACGAGGATGGTTTATTTAGATATTTTTCATATATTCATAGAGATCGTGACATTTTAACTAAAGTGTGAATATTGAAAGAGATTCATATGACATAAACAATACACACACACATATATATAAAAGATGGGCATTTTGAATAATCCAATAGATCCATCAAATTGAAAAAAATAAAATAAAATAGATCCATCAAATTGAGGTAGACTTGTCAATGGATCGGATTTTGATCCGAATCCAATCCGATTAACCGGATATGGATTGAATAAAAAATCCGATAACCCGATTATGATCCGAATCCAATAACCCGTTAACTTAACAAATTGGATATGGATTAGGGCGATCCGATCCGCTAATAATCCGATCCGGTTAAAATTATATATAATTATACTTATATGTTATATATATATATATAAATCAGATATGACCGTTGGATTTGTTTAGTTGTAAGTTGTAACTTATAATGATGTGCTTACCCACATAATAGAATTCTCCCAATATATATATATGTTGTATATTACCTACTTTAGGGTACAATAAAAACTAAAAGAGGCGAAAAGTGAAGGAGAATTGGGGAGGCCGCGGATGGACTGCTGGAAGTGGAAGAGGAAGGGCAAGCCAGCAGTGGATTGCCGAAACCATGGTTGGAATGCTTGGGAAGTAATTTTTTTTGTTTGTTACTTATTTCTCTCACTTTTCTTGTATTATTCCTTTTCTCCTCTCCAACCCTAATTTTCTTTCTTATATGTTTTTTCAGAATATAACTTTCACTTTTCAATTTATTCTTCCCACTCATTCGCTCTTTCATTTTTATCTCTTTTTGGTGATTTTTGGTATGTATTACAAAAACTGTTTCCCTCTCTTTTAATACCCTAACTTTGATTCTATTTGTTTTACCAAATTAAAACATATTTTCAGCAGTGGAATGATCTTCACAGATGAATTTCATAGATCAAATACATGTTGATATTTGGTATATTTGGATTGTTTTGTTTGATTTGTATTTTTTCAAAATATTGCATTTGTATAATATATAATCGGATCGGACATCCGATACCGTTAATATCGGATATGGATTGATTAGGAAAGGATCCATCGGATTATCGGATTGGACCGGATTAATTATTTTGCTTATCGGATTCGGATCGGATTGACCATGATCCGGTCCGAATTCGACCCGTTGACAGGTCTAAATTGAGGGCTGAAAATTTGAAGTATAGGGCAATTTCAACCGGGGGGCAATTTTATAATTTTAAAGTATTATACAAACGAAATGGAAATATAAGAAAAACGTGGGATCATTTGCACCGCTAGTCCCACATGGCAAGTACAGTGATGACTATATATGTGTATCAAGGTCGTCTTTGAAGCCTTCAAGTGAGGGCTACGAAGGCCGAACCAATTCGCACAAACTGTCGAAGAACAGAGGTTGGTCTAGTGAAATCCGGTTCAGCCACTGCAACTCCATCAAAAATCAAGGTAGGGTTTGTTGATTCTCTCGCTACCCCTCTCTTCTAGTCTTTCTATCTGGTTGTCTACTGTGATTAGTCTTTTTGTTTGGTTGTCTACCGTGATTAGGGTTTTTTTTCTCTGTAACCCTATCAGTCTATTTCTTGATTTATCTGTCCAGTTACTCTTGGTAGTTTTTAAAATGATTTAATTCAAAATGGAAATGCCTTTTAAAACGTATCATTGAATACCAATCCAGTACAATCAAACCCTTGATAAATGTATTGAATGGCCCTCTGAAATTCAGGGGAGTCTAATCAAACCCTCGATAAATGTATTGAATGGCCTCTGAAATTCACGGGAGTCTAATCAAACCGTTGATAAATGAATTCGATAATCGTTTGTAAATTATGCCTACTGCTTTAGATATTATGGAAGTCCCCCATCCCTCCACCTTGGCGCTGTTTTAGTTATCTTCTGAATTTTGTGTCTTTTCCAGGGATGTTGGCCATCAACTTCTCCCTGGAAGATATTCAGGGCATGACCAATTTTGAAGATGAGCGGAATAAACTTGGTGAGGGTGGTTTCGGAATTGTTTTCAAGGGAAGAATCCATCCCCAAAATGCTTATGGTCTAGATGAGCAAGATGTTGCAATTAAGGCGTCACACAATGCCAGCTTTGAAACTAGGAATATGTGGCAGGTTGTCAATTAGTCAGAAGTCCATTACAAAGTTTAATTCTCCTATATTATTTTCTAATTAGCTAATACAACCAATGTGTGTATATTTTCCTATTTAGCTAATACAACCTGTTTGTGTGTGTGTGTGTGTGTGTGTATATTTTGCAGGCTGAGGTTAATTATTTGCAGAGGTTTGATCACGCCCACATCATTAAACTTGTTGGCTACTGTGAGGATCCGGGGAACAGTTTTATTCTCGTCTACGAGTACGTGGCTGGTGGCACGTTGGAAGAGTACAGAAAAAGTAAGCTTTTGACATGTGCTGAGAATACCATGGAATCAATTAGAAGTTAAACTTGGTAGAGATAGAGATAATCCAATTAAAATTAAATTGTCACTGCATACTAAAACATTTGCTGTGAAAGATGGCATTTTGAACAATTGGACTGCACATGTGCATGGCATTTTGATAATATATCATTTAATTCTCTTCTGATACCCACAAGTCAAACGGTAACCAAAATGCTTTCTCCACAACACGTGGATTGACACACACACAAAACCATGGAGCATATAGTAGCATAGACATGAAGGAGTCACGCCACAAATATGATAAGACATGAACATGATGAAACATTAAACCTAATTAATTAGGACTGAGTGTAGACATGAGTTTAAGCATGTATTGATTTAGACATATGTAAACTTTAATTATTATTTTTTATTTCTATGCAAATGGTATTGTGCTTAACTTGCTGATATCGTGCAATTTATGTTAATTTTGCTTTAAAAAAAAAAAAATTTGGAACGGTGAAATGTGTTCTAATTGTTTATAAGATCGCTAATTGTGGCTGCTCTTAGACGTGTTTGTGGAATATAAGAAATGGGTTGAGGGTTTCTTACCCAAGTGCCCGGAATAGTGGAATTCAATTTCGAATTATTGACACACATCCATAAAGTATCAAACACATTCTTAGAACATAGTTGTTATAGGTGTGCCTAGTCTCTAAAAAAGTCCTAGGAAGGCTCAACTAAAACACCTTAATCAAGTACAGGCAACACCCCTTCAACCAAACCCACATAAAGCGCTCAAACTTGCTCATTTTAGTGGGCTCCAGGCTAAAAAAAAAGCATGCCTTTTTTTTTTTTTTAAATATATTATTGTCATTTTCACTTTTATTTAATGATAATTAAATCGAAATGTTCTTTGTCATATCATGATCATATTCAAAGGCCCTATTGGGTAAACCTTATGAAATATTTGACAAAATTTATAACTATATGGTTCACTACTTAAATTAATTGCATTTAGCGATTGATGTTGAGTCTTTATGATGACAAATGTTTATAATTTGCATGATTATAGTTTCTAATTGTTTTAGAGTTGTAATCATATTTTGTTTGGTTGATGCATATGCATATGGCAAGATTTATGAGCATTAATTTACCTAATCATCTTAGTTGATATATTGAAAATTCCATTTTTTTTTTTATAATTTTTTATTATTTGTGTAGTACATCTTGAAATGTTCTGGTTGTAGATTGATTTTATTAATTTCGTTTGAAAATAGAATAGATCTATGTATGTGATTTACTTATAAGAAAAAAGATATATGTATGTGATTTAACTAATTAATTGAATCGATATGTTGAAAAAGTTTCTTATTTGATAATGACAGTTTGTGTTGCATAGTTTATTGTTCTTTAAATACTTATGATCAGTATGCATTATTGTTACATACACGCCTTATTTCGATTAGACTCGGTGCCTTATTTCAAGTCTTGCTAGGAATTACCAATATTTATATATGAGTGACATACCCATATCGTGTCTGCATCGAATGGCGATATACTCGTGGATACGTGTCCGTTACTTCCTAAGAGTAACCATAATTTTAATATATATTTATTTATTTATTTATTTCTAGCACATATCCGAAACTTTTTAAATACTTTGATCACGTATCTTATGCGGCTTAGATATTTCAGAACACATTTTTAACAAAGTTTGGAACATTAAAATGGAACTTTTCCAACAATAATATTATAGTATAATTTGTTAAGAAAAATTTAAAATATATATAAGAAAGAAGTATTGTCATGATTTAGTACACCATTTATCCATGTAAAATGTGCAATATTACTATTAACTCTTTTTTTGTTTGTTAATCATAATTTTTTTTTAAAAAAAAAATGCTAATACAATATATATATAACATGAATAAGTATTAATTAGATTTACTAGGAAAAAAAAGTATTAATTAAATTTATCCACACACACACACACACACACACACAAGTATATATATATTTTATACGTATCTAAGCTTATAATATATATATATATATTATCGTGTTCTTGCATCATATTCTATTCTTTAAATTTTTTACGTATCGTTGTATACCTATTGTATCATTCGTATCCATGCTTCATAGGTGAAGGTTTATTTAATGATGACTAGGGATGCTTGTTTTCAAGGACGAAGCCAACTAAGGCTTAAGGGGGCATGTGCCCCCCTGAGTTGGCTCCTTAGTTTATTTTTCTACTATTTTTTTCTATGGGTTACATTTTTCTACTTTTATGCATGTGATATTTTCAAATTGCTCCCTAAAATTTCTCCATTTTAAAAATCTTTCACATTCTTCTTTTATTTTCTCTTTTACTCTTCTTTTTCTTTTAATTTATTTGATTTCCTTTAAAATATTTTGCGTCCTTTTTTTTTTTCAATGAAACCCGTATTTTTTTCCTTCGAATTTATCTAATTTTCTTTCCTTTTTATGTTCTTTCTCCCCCCGCCCCTCGCCCCCTCTTCTTAATAGTTCTTAATATATGATGCATGTGCAATTACCTTTTTCTCTATTCTGGTTTTTTATTTAATTATTATTATTATTAATTTTTTTTTATCTCGTCTTTAAATTTATTACTGTAATTTTATGAACTAATTTTTTTTTTTGGTAATGAAGAATCACACACGATAATCACTTTGGACTCTTCAATAGTTTACACATCTATTTGTCAACTTGCTGTCTTGCAACACTACTAGTCAGCATGTTCGTTGGATTTTTAATTTTTTTTTTTAATCATGTTCAATATGCTGTTGACTTAATCTCTTTGTTCCGTCATTGTTTGTTTTATGTGTTGTGAAACGAACTCTTTTTGTTAAAAACATTTCAATGATTGCATTTAAGATGCACTTAGATGCAGTAAGGGCCAAGCTCGTGACTTTTGGAGGGTCACGCCTTTGTGCATTTGGTGGTGTTTTTGGCTTTATAGGAGATCATTTGAAGGAAAGGAGACACATATTGGTGTGTTGAAGTTCTCCATTAGTAGCACTCTTCTATGTTGGGTTCTAGGGAGAAATTGTAAATCTATGGATGGGATTGTTGATTCTTTGGACTCTTTGAGAGTATAGAGACCCTATATGGCCTTGTGTAGCTTTTGAGGGACGTATTTCTTAATATAATTTTACTTCTAAAAAAAATATTCATAATATTATTAAAAAGTGATCAAAATATTCTTTTTGTATGTGTAAAAATATAAAATATTATTTCTTCATTGCCATATCCTATTGTACCCATATCCTGTATTTTTGAGAATTATCGTATCGCCGTACCTGTATCGTGTCGTGTACGTATCCATGCATTCTAGACATCTTGCAATTAGACTTCAGAAGAAATTTGGCGCCTTTAGTGCTCTTGAGTCTTTAACAACGATGAACTTTATAAGTTACGTTACCTGGGCTCGAATATGTGTCAAACGTGGGTATGTATCCATGTGTCGAACCTGTCGGATCTTTAAACGGGACCCTTGGACACTATTCATTTTATTTAATTATTTAATTTTATTTTCTAGAATAAAACAATGTTTTTATCTAATATAGTGTTCAATATAGGTATTTAAGTCATTTAAAATTAATAATATAGTATAATTGAATGATTAGATATGGTTTTTAACTGCATTTCCACCCAAAAGTGTCTTGACACATATCATATACCCATGTCCAAGCAACGTGTCCGACACGGGTACTTCACTACTTTTGAAGAGTCCATGTAACATAGTTTAGAAGCATCCATGTCCGACATGTTCTTGAAACTTTTCGTATTTCTTAAATTAAGGGCATAATAAGTATGTAGAAGAATGATAATACATAAAAAGTATCTTGTGGGCATTCATGGACATGTTATGAGTTCTATCCAGTTTGCTTTTCGAGCTTGTAACATTACTGTTGAGTTGTGGCCCAAATGTAGGGCCCACCCATGAGAGAGTTCTACTATCCTTATGTGTATAGTGAAAAGCCGTCCTTACTCGTAGATGTAAGCTATAACCCAAACCAAGTTAAGTCTGTGTGTTCGATGTGGTGTGTCTTGTTTCCATTGGATATTGCTTTTTTTTAATTTGTACTTTGTCGTGGTTTGTCACAACATTTACCCTAACACATCCAATAATAGATGCTCTCTATATCCATTCTAATAAAACCATCACAATCATTAATATGACCGCAATACTTTCAAGTGGAGTCATCTCTTATTTCCTTTGTCAACCCTTTTTAAAAGCCTAATAAATTTAAAAGTAAAATCAGGACCTCACAGTAAATTACTAAACCTCTTCATACCCTTGAAGACTTCATTCCAAAAGGATGCATCCATGAGATAAAATTAATTTCTAATTTTGAATCTTGTTGGAAGGTAACTCCATTTAAAGTAATATGATCTGCTACTTTCTTTATACTAGTATATTTTTGATAAGTTTTCTTTTCCTTTTCTCTTTTATACTTGTTTTTTCCCCTTTTCAAACTTTCTTTTGGTTGGTTACTTTTTTCTATGATATTCAACTAATAAGATGAACAAAATTTTTGCTTCAACCAACACTTCAAGCCATTGAATTGGATCTCTATCTCTCTCTCTCTAAAGTTCACTAAATTTACTCCAAAAGAAGTCACTATTTTATCTGCACGAATCATCAGTTTTTACATTTCATTTTCTCCATAAGTTTTGTGTTATAAGCTCTCTTATAGTATCTTTCATATGAGTATTTAGTATTTTAAATTAGATTTTTTGCAGCGAAGAGTTTTTGAATGATGACTCATAAATCTTATTTATTTAATATAATATTCTGACATGATGGGATATTATTTTATTTGAATTAAACTTTTCTTATACCTAATAATTTGCTTATGTGTGAGTGTAATGTGCTTCAAAATTATTAGGGAGAACTTTAGAATTGTCTGGATTCTGTTTTTTTTTCCTGTGTATTCTTTTAGAATTATTAATGCTCAAAAATCAATATACATTATATTTGTCATTTGTGGAATCTACGATTCTCAACCCAATCGACAATTTGATCCTCGTAACCCCAAATTGATGCAACACTGGACCGCGATTTTAATAGCCTCGTGTTTATGTTGTGATCGTGCTTTGCAGGTTTTTATTTGGCATATAATCTAGTTCTGTTGACTAGTTTTACTCAAATGTCAATTAAAAAGCTGACTTATTAAACTTTCTTTGAATGTTTTAGTATTCCAGATACGTTGATAAGTACATTGTCTTTTATGGTTTTTCAAGCACCTGTTGAACACCTGTTTATTGTGATCACAGGTCTTTTAAAAGAGAGTCGAGTTTTTAATATGCCACTTCCTGAACTGTAGTTTATTTAACAATAAGAGAATAGATGTATGTTCGGTAGGTTATTGATGTAACTTATTAATTGACCTTGGATCCATGCTTCTTATATAGTTGTCTCACGTGCAGTTTTCTATCCTATACAATTTCTTTTTACTTATTAATTATAGATGATTGTGCTTTTATTGTGGTATAATTATAATGTGGACCGTGGATAAATTCACCCTTTAAATCAATGTTATTTACTCTCAGGGTTGAACTGGGAAGGAATTCTGAGGGTCGTAAGAGGAGTGGCCAGCGGTCTTCAATACATCCATGGATTTGAAGATCCAAAACTTGTTTATGGCGATCTGAAGCCAGGAAACATCCTCTTGTTGGGGGAGGTCAGTGATTTTTTCCTCTCAAATTGAAAGCGAAGTTCTATAAAGCAACTATTGACACTGTCATTTTTGTAAGGACAGAAGAACGTTAGTGGTATGCATAACATGATGACAAAAATGTGGATGTTTGAGATGGAAGTTCTGCAAGACATGAAAGGGTAGAATTAAAAATGATCACATCCATAAGATGGTTGAAGTAACATTCATTGGAGATAAAATAAGAGAAATCAATTGAGATTGTTTGAACATATGCAAATAAGATCACTAAGTGTATTAATTAGGAAGATTGACTTGACAATATTAAAGGATAGTAAGAGAAGGGGAAATCAAAGTTAACATAGGTTGAATTAGTAAAGAAATATATGGCAACATGTGGTTTGACTGAAGTCATGGCCTTAGATCTAGCAGAATGGAAAAATGCATTTCGTATAACTGATCCCAAGTAGCTGGGAAAAGCTTGATTGAGTTGAGTTAAACTTATGCTCCAAACTCCACAAGGCCAATACTAGTCAATTGGGAATTAAAACCCTCAACCTCTCATGTGAGAGGAGGAAGAGGAGATACCATTTCAGCTATAGCCTTGTTAGATCAGTACTCCCAAGAACTTGCCTTTGCCTTGGCATCACTCCGAAGTCTCAACCAAATATGCAGTCAGGCCCATAGGAGACCTCCCCTTTGTGTTCTAGCATTTCGAGGAACAAAATCTGTCTTACTAAGAATTGATGCATGAAGGTAAGATAAGCTTCACCGTGTAAACTAAAGGCTTGACCTTACACTTACTATTGCAGCCAAAGTCAGGGACAAAAGTATAATGTGGAAGAGGGAATAGGGATTTTGGGAACTTTGAGAATGATTAGATAATTTATTTCCATTAGAAGAAAATCATTAGAGAAGAAAGATTTCATTGGTTTTGAAACTTTTAAAACCAAATACGTACCAAGTTTTCTTTGAAAAATTAAGATTAAAAAGGTTATCAAGCTGGAGCAAGAGCTTAACACTTTCTTTATAGGGGAAAAAGACAGACCTCTATAATATCTTCGGTTGAGATACTTCAGCGCTGCATTGCAGTCTGTTCATCTGATATATGCTTGCTCACAGAAGATTATTTCTTCAGACAAAAACTGATTTACAATTTTAGAACCAAGCAGCTTATTATATAAGTTAACTAGCACACACTTAAGTTGTTTTGAGTCAAATCATCTTAGACCATCTTGTCTGCACAAAAAAATTCTATTATGTCCTGTGGGATGTGGGTTTCAAGTGTCAACGGATAATTCCTCATCACCAACAAAACCCAAGCAAATCCCCCACCCATCAAGACCCAAATCCTAAACTTTCACTGCCTGTATCAAACCAATCTAACCAAACGCAACCCTAACCCTTTCTCATCCTCAACCACACGAACACAAAAGGAAAAAAAAAAAAGAAAAAAGAAAAAGAAAAAGAAAAAGAAAAACCAGCAGTAATCCTATCCAAACTCTGACTGCCACTGTAACCAAGCCAACAATCGTAACACCCAACCTTAGCCGCAAGACAATCGCAAAACCCATACCCATCGACCAGACAAAACCCATCAGCCCCCCATAGACTTCTCAAGCGAAACCATACCCACCAGCAAATTCCACAGCCCCTCATGCCAACAACTACAGCCGTCAATCTTTCCGGAATCTGTTACAACCATTGTCGTCTGATCCTGAAATCACTGTTCCTCGTCATCGTCGATCAAACAACAGCATCTTGCTAAGAAACATGAAATCCTCCTGCCGTTCTTCTCATCGGATTCTCAGTCTCGTCGCCTTCGTGTCATCATCCCCGCTGGTCGTCATTGGGAAGTCACGGTTGTATCGCAAGCTTTGGTTCGCTCTGTTTGTCGTTTGGGAAAAGGGTGTTGTAGAGATATTACCAGAATCCGGATTTGGCTTGTTTGGTTGCTGGTATAGAGTTCTTCAAGGTTTAAAACCAATTCTAGGGCAAAAAAAAAAAAGAGAAGAATTTCAGTTGAGTTCTCACAGCCACTTTTGGGTAATCTTCAACAATTGGGTTACTGCATTGGACTTCGAAAAAGGTACATATACTTCAATTAAAAAATTTTGATTAGTACTTTTATCTATTTGTTTAGTCTAGAAATTTGCAAAAGGTCCGATGAACCCAATTAACTATTGAATACATTTATTTGTATCAATTTTACCTTTATTCATTCTCATTGCCTATTATATTTTGTCTTTGTTTCCACCATATCCATTTTTATTGTATTATTTATTGTCACTTAAATTTTCCCCCAAAAAAAAAAAAAAAAAAAAAATAATAATAATAATAAAAAATTGCAACCATTGCATGAAATTCCTTGATTGTGCATTGTGCTAGTTTATAATTTGGTTTACTGATTTCAATTTTGAGTCCTATATCGGCATTATCTTTAATCATTTTTATGCCTATACCATCCTTTGGTCGTCATGATTGGCCTTAATATGTCTCATGCACAATCAGCATCAAAGCAGAGAAGTCCCAATGCATTTGTGAAGAGATTCCCTAACGAGTACGTAAGGAAAGAAAGATTTGTTTCCCCAAGGTTTAGGCAGAATGTTAGAAACAATGACCACCATTATTATGACAAGTCCACATGCCACTACTGCGACACTTATGAGTCCACATGCGACTACTGTGACACTTTTCATAGTCCAAGATCATCCCGAAACTCCTACATGAGGCAAAACAACTTTGATTGAGAGTCAAATCCAATGTCCTACTAGAAGACCTCCAGTTGTCAAACCCTCTTGAGTCTCAGAATGTAGATATTCACCCGAGTATCTACGTGTCCTAGATGATATTGAACCATTTCCAGACCTTAAGGGAAGATCATATGGAAGCTGAGACCTGTAACAATGACATGATGTGCAAATAAATGGAGAAAGTAATAAATGCAGTGTCAAAATCAGGTGTTGCTAGAATGAAACTTATGAACCTCATCCACTGCCATATAGAATGGCCTGGGAATACAGACCTTTCTTGACTGTTACAGAAAGGTGTTTATTCCCGATTCAAATGGGTGATTACTTTGACAACATTTGGTGTGATGTTTTACCCTTAACTGTAGCACACGTGTTACTTGGTCACCCTTGGATCAATGACTTAAATGTGACTCGCCATAGCAAAGAGAATCATTACCGCTTCAAATATAATGGAAAAACTCTCCTGTTAAGGCCTGCAAAGCCATCAAAAGGTTTCAAAAACACTGAAGATATCTTCTTTTCCACCTAACGATGACAAACCTGTGTTGTCAAAAGAAGAAAGAGAAGTAACTGAGGGTGTTCCCCATGTCACAACTAAGGTGTTGGACTCTCCATCACCTAAATGCACTATTGTAGATGAAATTAAAGATATAATATTTAAGGAACATCAACCTAAATAGTCACACGAGTGATGAGCAACATGACATTGCCTTAGTCTCACATTCTTCTAATGTCACACATAATTTCACATATCCTAGGAAACATGTTGAATTGAGTCCAAATGATGAGTTGACACAAAAAGGGTTCATTCACAATAGCCTCGAAGAGATTGTTAAACATCACGAGTCATCTAATTCCATTGTGTTAAATAAGAATGTCAAGTATAATGGTATTTTCTGTAAGACACTTTGGGAATTCTTAAGAACGGATTTGAAGATTCCTTCTGCATTTTGTTCTTTAACTGATAGGAAAATTGAGGCTGTGAAGCAAGGTCTAGGAAAGTTGGTTAGTTTTCTTTTTAGAGTGCACCTAGACACTTGAAACTTGTTATTGCCTATAATGGAGTATGCTTGTTCTTGCCTATAATCTATTTCCATGCCAATCCATTGATCATGTTCTTTGGCCTCCACATATATATTTGTTTGAATTCCTTTGTGCACCTTGTCCGTGATTGTCATGCCGATATGCGACAAGAAATTGTCTTGAATTAAAAAAAAAAAAAAAAATTATGGACTTACTGCATATGCTCATCATAGGAATCATGAATTAATTGAAGAAGAATATATATATATATATATATATATATATATATATATATATTATAGTCTTTGCACTGTCTCAACCTTATCCTAAAGCTCATCCCAGGTGAAACATACCAAAATTGTTGACTTTTCCACATCATTCACAAATGAGGACCTAATGCACATTTCTTTGACTGATCATTGGATTTGAGTACTAATTCAAATTTTGATGTGGAGCATTTGTTACCTAACCGAGGCACCTTTGAGCCTCCTATTTTATTGGCATGTTTTCCTACAGGTGGATTTGCATTTTCCTCAGCACCAACATCAGTTCCTCCATCTTTTCAGCCGTATTTCTTGTATTTGGGATATCTAGAATTACCATCTAGCTTTAGATTTTACATGGAGTGTAGCTGAGGAACTTTATTGCGTTGACCTTACTTTTTGGAGCTATGCATATGCATTTACTCTCCAGAGGAGAGAGTTCTTCTCAACCGAAAGGGAATGCTGGAGATTGGGGCATGGTCCAAAAGATTGAAACTTTCATGTTCAGCCTTTACTATTGGAGATGTTGAAAAGACACAGAGAATTAGGAAATTTTGTGTATTTATTATTGTTATTATTTTTATTTTAGTAATCTAATAATTTTAGTAACTTAGTTTTAGGGTTTTATTTATGGTATTAGGATTTTATTAGGGTTTTCTTGCTGCCTATTTATATGCGGGTTGAGAACATTGTTAAGGTACCTTTTATGATTGATGATTTATTGAATATTGAAAGATTATTGTGATTTCTTCTTCCTCGTATTCTTGTTTTCCTCTTTCATTCTCTTTCTTGTTCTGGTTGAAATTGTGATTTCAGAGCACCCCTACCTCATATTGCATCACCTACTTTTTAGAATTTGACCTATTGGCGTATTTGTGTAGTCTTGTGTCCTTTTCCGTGCTTCTTAGGTGATGGTTGGATAAGTTTCTACTTGTGTGATTCCAGAATGGCTGAACATGACGGGGCAGTTGAATATGGTATTGTATATGAGAAATTGGAACGATAGAGCGCAATAACATTAAAGTGATGAGTCAATCTGCAAGAGTTTGAATAATTAGACTTGAAAAATGTTGAATAAAAATCATGAGCGGGAAAAATATTGTATGGGGTAAAGGGCAATAAACCTCCCTAAACTTTACTCTCCTTAAAAATTTCATGAACTTTTATTTTTTTTTTCTGAACTTTTATTTTTCTTGCAAAATTAACCCACCGACTAGGTTCCGACCGTTTCTTCCCGTTAAAGTGGCCCGTGTTAATCACTTACCATAACTGTAACTTGAAAATGACGAAGTTACCTTTTATCTTATTTTATTGCTGCCACCTCCAATCTCTCTGTAAAGGATTTGGGTGTCCTCTCTTTCTTCCTGGCAAACCAAAAATCTTAGACTCGCGTAGTAATTTACAAAGGGTTTAGAGTTTTCCTAAACTGAAAGAGGGAGACAATTATCATATCAAAGGCAGAAGATAAGATTGGAAGAGTACTGGAACTCCTTCAAAGGCAACAAAGATGCTTCTGTCACAGTTGTTTAGGCCAAAAAAGTGAAATCCCCAAATCAACAGCAGCAATTGAAGCATGCCTCTGCGCATTCGAACCCTAAGCTTGCAAATCACCCTCTCTCGCTCTATGTGTGGATGTTCACCGTTTTGATTCTGGACAAGGCACTGTAGAATTGAAGCACGATATGTGCTCCTCAAACCCTATGTAAGTGAGTGAGAGAAACCTCTATTACGTTGCCGAGCTAAGCCCTGTTACACTATAGATGGAGCGATTTGATGGGAAGTGTGGGCGTGGAAGGTAGGAGCGTGACGGTGAAGATGAATCGTAGTCATTGAGGATGTCATCCACAGTGTGTTGTGAGGGATGGATAAAGGGGTGGTCGTGGTCCTCATCGCCACTTCACCGCTAGTGCTAGAAGTGTTCGACGTCTTCATCACTGCTGGTGCTATGTGATTGTTACTCATTGTCGTTGGTCCACTAACCTTCTTAGTCATCTCATCCTCTGTAATTCTTCTCACACAAACACAATTTACTTCGTGTTGATGGAATTTTTTTTTGGTGGTGTTGATTTATTTACTCATGCCGGCACCAATTTTTGGTCACCGTTGTTGATGAAATGATGGATGTCTTTTTAGTCACAGGTGTTGATTTCTTCTCGATCAAAACGGTGCCCCTCCATTATAGGGTAATTTTGTAATCTTGTTTTTTCGGTGCCTAAGACTCACCTGTTGTCCTTAATTGCAACTTTTAATAGTTCAGGGGGGCATTTGTTAATTCAGGGGGGTTTTATACAATTGGCTTATAGTTTAGGGGTGTGTTTTTTTTTTTTTTTTTTTTTTTTTTTTTTTTTCGCACTTTACCCTATTGTATGAGGTCACAAAGGAAGAGGGTTAAACTAGATGATTAAATTAAGGTAAGTTTAAGGTTAGAAATAAATTATGTAGTGTATTTGGCCTGTACTTGTTTTGGAAGGTGGAGATGGTTCGCACTTGTTAAAGGAGGCTGATTGGTTGAGATGGGAGGCGTTGGGGAAGAAGGGGATGTACGAGTTCCAGAAATGGAAGGAGTGGTGTGATTTGCTTTGGGATAGGAATACGGAATGCTTCAGAAGGATTTTCTCTCATAAAAAGAGAGATGGTGTTTCATCCTCATCAGAGTCGTGTCGTCTTGCAAGCAATAAGACGTTCCCAAGGTTCGGTGAGTTCAGAGGCCATGGCCTTTTGACGGCCGTCCAGTTTACTGATTGGAGAAGATACCAACATGGATTTCACGTGCTTGCAACGCGTGGGTGGGGAAGGGATGGATCTAAGACAAGTGGTTGGCGTCCAAGGTTCGGCCGTTGGAAGTGGGATACAGCTGTATCCACTTCTTTCTCAAAAAAATGGGTTGTCAAGGCTAATTAGGCTTCTTGTACTGATGGGCGTGTGGGTGGGCTGGTGTTGGGGCCTAATTCTTCTTATGTTGCTGACCTTGTTTCGATTGGGCCTGGGATTCTTAGCTGCCGCGACGCAAGTTATTATGGACTGAGCTATTTTGAGATAGCCCAGAGGCTCGAGAAGGGCTGTTCCTTGGGTTCTTCTTTAGGCCTGCAAAGCGGTAAGTTGGGTGGATTGGATTGCGGTTCGGTGGGTGGGCCTGATGTTGTTCCTGTTTGCTCTGGGTTGCAAGTTAAGAACCGGTTCGACGCTCTTTTTTCTTTAGTGGCTTGCCCGGATCAACAGCCTTCTGCGTCTCTTTCTGGGGGCATCAGACATGGTAGAAGATCTGCTCTCCCTGTTCAGGGGCACCGGTTGAGGTCAAAAAGAAGGTTGTTCTCCCAGTTTTGCGTAAGAAATGGTCTCGTAAAGAAAAGCAGAAATGGGTGATGTCTAAGCAACCAGATTCATCTCCGGGTAAGTCTTTCTCTCGGTTTGGTTTGGCCCCTTTGCTTTCTTCTTCGTTCTCTCCCCCTTCTATTGGGGTGTCGGGGTTGGAGAAGGGAGGGTTGTCCTCCTTCTCTAAAAGGCTTTCTCCGGATAGATTTGAGAGGAGGCTTGCAGGCTTGAAGAAGCAATATCTTTCCAAAGGAGTGCGGGTCACTCTGATTAAGAGAACCCTCTCTTGCTTTCCTACTTATTTTATTTCGCTTTTCCAGATTCCCGTCTCTGTGGCTGAGAGAATTGTGAGCGCTTGCAACGTAATTTTCTTTGGGGGGGGGGGGGGGGGGGGCGCGGGAGTTTAAGTTTCATTTGGTTTGGTAGGAGCATGTTTGTAGGCCTATTCGTAATGGTGGGTTGGGGCTTCGTAGATTGGTGCCTTTCAATAAAGCTCTCCTTGGAAAATGGTTGTGGAGGTTTGGAGTGGAAAGGCATTGGCTTTGGAGGAGGGTTGTTACTAGTAGGTTTGGGGAGAACAGAGGAGGGTGGTGCTCTCTTGAGGTGCGTGGTCAGAGGGGTGTGGGGGTTTGGAAGTGCATTCGGAAGGGTTGGGCTGATTTCTCCTTGAATGTCCGTTTTAGATTTAGGGTTGGCGGGAGGATCAGTTTCTAGGAGGATGTTTGGTGTGGTGATATTTCTCTTGCTCTCGCCTTTCCACGGCTGTTTAGGATTGCTTCGAATAAGCAGGCCATGGTAGTTGACTGTTATCATCTTGATAGCGAGAGACTGGTGTGGGATGTTCAGTTCATGCATCTCTTTCAGGATTGGGAGGTTGAGGATGCCATTCGTCTGTTGGAGTTGTTGTATTGGCAGCGAGTCATGGTTGGTGAGTCTGATGGTTGGATTTGGGCTCCCAGTGCTCAGGGTTGTTTTGATGTGCGGTCCTTCTTCAAGTGTCTTTTTGTGGAGCCTGGAGGCCCTTCCCGTGGAAGTCTGTTTGGCGATCTAAGGCTCCTCTCAAAGTGGCCTTCTTTACTTGGACTTCTGTGTTGAGCAAAATTTTAACCCAGGATAATTTGAGAAGGAAAAATCAGGTGGTGGTCAATTGATGCTACATGTGTCTTAGGGACGAGGAGACAATGGACCATCTTCTTTTGCATTGCCCCATGGCCAAGGATTGTTGGGATTTGATGCTTGGCTTGTTTGGGTTCCAATGGGTTATGCCTCACTCCACCAGAGAGTTGGTCAAGGCTTGGAGAGAGTGTTTTATTGGGGGCCATGTTCATGATGCTTGGAGGGTTACTCCTCTTTGTGTGTGGTGGTATATTTGGCTTGAGAGGAATATAAGATATTTTGAGGGGAAGGGAGACCTATTTCTTTTCTTAAGTTCTTTATTGTTTCCACTCTTTTTTGTTAAGTCTTAGGTAGATGTTATAGATCTTTAGATGAAAGAGTTAATTTTTTTGGCCTCTTTAAAAGTGTAATAGCTATTTTGGCTTGTTTTTGTTCCATTGGGATGCACTTCTCTTGAGCGCTTTTTATAAATTTCTTACTTGTCAAAAAAAATATATATATCTAATACTTATATTTTGAAGTACGATATGACTGCCACCGGTTGTACAATGAACTTGTTAAGCCGTGACCTCACTTTCCTACCATCTTTCCTTGTAATAATTAAGCCATAGTTTGATGGGCAGTTGCAACCACATGAATTGATGGACATGAAAATTGTAATGGAAACTTTTACTTAAAGACTACATTTCATATTATTGGTGTATGAAATCTGTTAAACAGTTACATGCCTCAGATCTAGGGGCATGGATAAAAAATCTATTCTATAAAATTGGAATGTAGGGGCATGGATAAGAAACTTTTTTTTTTTTTACATCTATAGTTTTTATGGGATATCTTCACCAACATGATCTGACCTGAGCCTGTATTTGCTGATTCAGAATGAGACTTAGACGTGTGATTTACCTTGTTCTCTGGTTCCATTTGCGACCTTATCCTTTGTTTCGTATAGGATATGAATTCTAAGAATATTTTAACTCAGTTATGCGTTTCTTCATCTGCTATTGCTCTCTATTCAAAGCATTTTTCTTTTCAAAAAAAAAAAAGAAAGAAAGAAAGAAAAAAGAAATGAAACTTGCACAGCTTCTATGTCAAGGCCACTGTAGTGTGCATTAATATCCTTGAGCACCTTGTGATTGTAATCTCTATCAAGATGAATACCATTTCCCATAATGTTTATAATCCCAGCCCTTTCCAGACTCAATACGACTACACTTTGAGATCTCTTATAAAACTACTAGGATGAGAGCCAAACTAGACAAATATGGCATGAAAAATGGTAAGGAGCCTAAATAACAGGCCACGGAGAGAATGAACAAGCTGGGTGAAAAAAATAGTTTGAGTTCTAGAATTATACTTGAGACATAAAGAACTTAGATTTATTTTTTTACTCGTGGATCCATGGATCCAATATGCTGTTGTAGAAATTTGAATTTTACCTTTGATAACATAAATCCATTGTGCTGTTGCAAAGAAACTAAACTTTTACAGTTCATTATTTTATGTTTTTCTTGTATGATCTAATGAACAGGATCATGAACCAACAATCAGTGATTTTGGGAGCTTGACTGAGGAGAATCGGACGCAGGCTGTTTACAGTATGCACTACGTGGATATTGAGTTTGTTATGAGAGGTAAATGAGTAGTTAGTGGGAGGATTTGATATCATCATTGTTGGATATCTTGGATATCTGCATGTATATATATACAATACTTATGAGAGTAAAATTTGTAGTTATGTTTCAAATGAATCATTTTCTTCATGAATACCATTGCACGGTTTTATTTTCTTTGCTGCTGTTGATTATTCTAGTGGTAACATGAAAAATCCTAGATATCCAATTTAATATGATTTTGTTTGTTTCTACTGTCCTTTTACGTTTTACACTATTGGGCCATGTAATCACTCCCTTCAGGTTCCTTTTTACATATTATTGCATTGAATATAACCAATATCTTTTTTATTTTATGTCTGGATACTTGAGAAAGTCTCTATGAGCTTCAACTACATGCCAACTCTGACTTTTGATGAATCAATAGTGCTTTGGCTGTGGCTAAATACCTTAAACGAGATACCCTGCTTCACTAAATATAAGAAGGGATACTCCATTGCACAAGACTCCTGCAATTCTCCCGCAATTGCATGGAGAGACTATTTTTCCTTTCAAACTAGGACCCTCGAGTCACCGTAGAGGAGCTGTACCATTGAACCAAGGCTTACTATTAGACTCATACTAGAAATCGATCCTTTTTTCAAATCCTTTGTTACGCGTACTTAGTAATAAAAAGACATGCAAGCAGATTGAATAAGGCAAACGGGCGTGCACATCTAATGTGAATTGTGAACATGTACTGTTCCATAAATTTGGAATTGGAAACAAGACTCCTGCAATTCTCCGGCAATTGCATGGAGAGACTATTTTTCCTTTCAAACTAGAAATCGATCCTTTTTTCAAATCCTTTGTTACATGTACTTTGATCTTGATAAGACATGACAAGCAGATTGAATAAGGCAAACGGGGGTGCACATCTAATGTGAATTGTGAACATGTACTGTTCCATAAATTTGGAATTGGAACAATGAAATCATCGGAATAGAAATGTAAATGATTGGTTTAGTTCTATGATTTTGCCTTTTAGTAGGCCAGAGGTCTTGTTAAAGTTTGTATTGTCGGTCTTTCAAATTATTCCTCCCTAAATTAGTATATTATCTCCGAAAGAGTACGATTAGGAATCTTTTGTAGGGGAGGAAAGACTGATTCAAACAAAATTAAACAGGCAAGTAGGGCAAGGTTATGTCATGTCCAAGATAGTGGCCTGGGTTTTAGAAACCTCGAGTCTTTTCAGTCATTCTTTGCTTTCAAAAGTGGCTTGGAGATTGGAGTTGGGACATGATTCAAATGCTCTTCGGAATTCTTAAAGAAGGTATTTAAAAAAATGTCCTTTTCTTGAATGCTATAATTCTGGAACATCTCAGATGTGAAGTCTGTTTGCTGCCAAAAAAGTGATTACAGAAGGAATGAAATTGAGAATAGGGGACAGAAATTCAAGATTTTACAGCTTGCTCAAGTAGGCCAAAGGATTTTCCTTGCAATGGATCCCGTAACATGAAAATCAAGTTGCTCATGAAGTTTTACGAGCAAATGGATGGTCAACAAGATCTCTTAGTTTTATATTGGTCTAGGGTGACATTTTCTGTTAGGAAAGCTATGCTTTTTTTTACCATCACCCTATTCCTTAACTTAATCTGTTTGCTGCCAAAAAAGTGATTACAGAAGGAATGAAATTGAGAATAGGGGACGGAAATTCAAGATTTTACAGCTTGCTCAAGTAGGCCAAAGGATTTTCCTTGCAATGGATCCCGTAACATGAAAATCAAGTTGCTCATGAAGTTTTATGAGCAAATGGGTGGTCAACAAGATCTCTTAGTTTTATATTGGTCTAGGGTGACATTTTCTGTTAGGAAAGCTATGCTTTTTTTTACCATCACCCTGTTCCTTAACTTAATCTGTTTGCTGCCAAAAAAGTGATTACAGAAGGAATGAAATTGAGAATAGGGGACGGAAATTCAAGATTTTACAGCTTGCTCAAGTAGGCCAAAGGATTTTCCTTGCAATGGATCCCGTAACATGAAAATCAAGTTGCTCATGAAGTTTTATGAGCAAATGGGTGGTCAACAAGATCTCTTAGTTTTATATTGGTCTAGGGTGACATTTTCTGTTAGGAAAGCTATGCTTTTTTTTACCATCACCCTGTTCCTTAACTTCTGGTTTTTATTGCCTTGTAAAAAAAAAAAAAAAAAAAAGCCCTGGCCCAATAATTCAGCCCAAACAAAAATCACAGCAAAATTAAATTAAGAGGGTGCTAAAGTGTGCAATAAACCCCCTTCAACCATACCCAAGTGCAACTAACCCTCCTCAACTACAAATAACCCCCTCAAGCATCAAATTGGTTAAATTTTAGGACAAAGAGGAGTATTCAGGTCATCCCGTGACCGGAAAATGGTAAAGTCTATTTTACCCCTCATACAAAGGTGCAACATAACAATGGGGAAAAAATTGACTGAGGGAAAATTATGTGTGTGTGTGTGTGTGTGTGTGTGTATATAAAATATACCGTCATCATTCCTTATATAAAAACCCTATTATATATATACAATATATATACACACTCACCATTCATTCTCCGTAACGACCACCACTGCCACCGAGTCTCCCTTCACAACCACCACTGCCCCGTAAGAGAGCAACGGAATAAATTTGGGAATTCTATTCATCACCTCTCAGCAGGTGGGTCGAAATCCACAAGCACTGGACACGGCTATGCAGGCAATGAACAACAAAGGCAACGGCGATGCATGATGATGATGGACAGTAGTGATTGGTGACGACAAATACCAAGCGGTGCAACAATGGTGGCCACAACAACTATTGTAGTTGCCAAATCCGATGCCGTCAATTGCACTTTACCCTTAAGAAGACTCATAAGCATGATTTAATTAAAAGAAAAAAATCCCAAACTAAATAAACATGCTTAACAAAATTTATCAATCATCAATATCATATGCTCAAAAGATATTCCAGACTTCAACTAGAAAGCCATGTGAAAAAAATGAAGAATTTATAGAAAGCCAAAAAGAAAACATCCCAATTCCCATTATTCAAGCCTCCAGATATTTCTTTGCATAAAGGAGATCTCTTCAAATCCAAAGAACACATGTTATGGAAAGTGATATAGATGTATAGTACATGCTAAATACCAGAATAATAATAGTTCTAAATTACTAAATATCTATCAACAATTTATAGCAGCATTTAGCATGAGATATGCGGAGTGCCATGTAGTTTGAACATCTACGCACAAAGAATCCCTGCATGTTAATCATCTCTCTCTCTCTCTCTCTCTTTTAAAAAAAAAACTTCGTTCAATGCTTACCACAATACCCAATGAATTCGAGTTACTTAATCTTAAAATTTACTTAACTCATCTTTACAATTAAGGATATGTGCACACCACTTCATATGAGAATTCACCACCTAAAAATCTAAAATGGAACTGCATTCCTATTAGAAATCATTCCTCCAAATATGCAACAAGAAGATCAAATAAACTTACATTTATCATTGGTAAGTGTACATAGCTATTCTATGTCCCATTCAATTAAATATGCCTACACTGGTCGACCAACTGCCTCACCTTTGGTACTAGAATAACGCAAAAATTTATATACATACATATATATATATATATATATATATATATAGTGTTTTTCCAATCTTTATCAATAAAATGAGATGAAAGGCATATGTAAGAAAGATTTTCCGGTAAAGTCGATGAATCTGTGGAGTGGCAAAGTCTTTGATTGGAATTGATAAAAATTTCTTCAAAATTTTCTTCCCAGTTCTCACTAGCATAAAATGCAAGCAATCCTTTGTTACTGTCGTAACTGACATGATTTTGAAGGTTCCAACACGTGACATAAAAAATAAAAAATAATTATAAAAAAAGCCTTCATTCTCTACAAACTTGAAAGGCAACTCATCAAAGTTAAGATATCTTGGTCATATTTCCAAAAACCAAAACAGTAATTACTGCCCTCTTTTGCTACCGATTGAAATGATAGAAGTTTCTGTTTCTTGTCTTGAGTGTAGCGATATGTTGAAATATGTTCTCTCACAATGCTATTCCCATTCTCACTCACCCATGCATAAATTTAGTTACAAGCTGATGCAGAGCAAGTGATAGAGCCATAGAGGACTACTTTCAATTAGTTGAACATCCTAAGAGGACTGGACTGAGTTTTCCATTAACAGGGGCAGATGATGTGATCAGATTATGTGATTGTTTTTGGGTCTTGAATCATTTAATAAATCTTAAATCAGTCTTTATTCCATGTTTAGGATATTATTGTCATTTTGGTTTTATTTCATAAGTCATGCCTTTTATGTGAATTATGTGACCATTTAAGGAATATTTTGTCATTTTAGTGTCTTTAATTTGCTGGACAGATTACATTTGTATATAGGGCTAAGTAATATATTCAGCCTGCCGGAACAACTTTTTACCTCTCCCTTTCTTTTGGGATTGTGTTGTGGGTGCTTAAGCTGTTCTCTGGCTTGATCTAGGTCTCTGTTTTTCCCTTCTTACAGGCATTATTTTTCTTTCAATGTTGATTGCATTGCAAGCACGTTTAAATTTCCCTCCCTCTTCATTTACAATTTTCATAAAATGATACTAAACTTCAAATTTATGAGCCATATGTTAGGACATACCTTTGCCTCAAGAACATTGGGTTCTTGAGGAAGCTGGCTAGCATAATTGCCTCTGGTAGTTTACATCTAACATCAACAAGAAACAAAAAATCCTAAGAGGACTAGATCATGTGATCGGATAATGTGGTTGTTTTTGGGTCTTAAGTTATTTATAAGTCTTAAATCTGTCTTTATTTCATGTTTAGGATATTATTGTCATTTTGGTTTTATTTTATAAGTCATGTGCCTTTTAAGTGAGTCATGCGACCATTTAAGGACTGTCTTGACATGTTTAGCATCTTAATTCTGCTGGACAGAATACAAGCTCTTAGATTACATTTGTATGAAGGGCTAGGATTAAATCCTTTGCTAGGGCATCTTTTTTTTTTTTTTTTGATAAGTCTTTGCTAGGGCATCTTTGTGTCACATAAAAGGGTAGTTCCAAGTTGTATTGAGCAGCTTTTTAGTACTATCAGTATATTCAGTCTGCCAAAGCAGTTTTTTACCTCTCCCTTTCTTTTGGGATTGAGTTGTGGGTGTTTAAGCTATTCTCTAGCTTGATCTAGCTCTTGGTTTTCCCTTCTTGCGGATTTTATTTTTCTTTCATAAGTTGATTGCATTACAACCACATTTAAATTTCCCTCCCTCTTCATTTGCAATTTTCATAAAATGATACCAAACTTCAAATTTATGAGCCATATTTTAGGACATACCTTTGCCTCAAGAACACTGGGTTCTTGAAGAAGCTGGCTAGGAATAATTGCCTCTGGTAGTTTACATCTAACATCAACAAGAAACAAATAAAAAAATATTTAATAAATTGGTCAACCCCAATTATCCGGAAACTGTATTTGGAAATAACATATATATCACTGAATTCAAAAGCTCAAAACTAGAATAATAATTCAAATTTTTATCCCATTTACTCAGATCATGAAAACATCAATTACCAACATCAATTAAAAGCTATAAATACACACTTCATAGCAATTAGATAAAAAATCAAAATTTGAAAATTTGAACACCATAACAGCAATACATGCCCTGTTTCAGTTTGAGAAGTTGAAAGTGGTTCCATCGCCAAAGATAATGCGTGAGGCGTGAGTGGTGAGGTATGGTTATTGGTCGTGATTGTGGAGGTATAAGAGAGAGAGAGAGAGAGAGAGAGAAGTAGAGGCAAAAAAGTGACGATGGTGGTGAAGTGTGAAATGTGTTTGAGAGAGAGAGAGAGGACGGTGGTGATGGCTGAGAAAGGGTCAAGGGTGCTTAAGGGACGGCTGCAGTAGCTAAGGATCAAGACAGTGGAGGCGAAGTGTTAAGAGTGTGTGTGTGTGTGTGTGTGAGAGAGAGAGAGAGAGAGAGAGAGAGAGGAGGGGTTCTGGACTGCAGAGGACTGTGAGAAATCTGAAATGAGAATCATCAGTTAGGGATAGGGAAGAAACAGATTATATATCTCATATATATAATATATCTTTATTTTATTAAGGTTCAGGGACCCCAAACTGAGTACTAAAACGCTAGTGCTTTTGTAATAGAGGAAATCAATAAATTGATTTTGTTAGAACGTCTCATGTTGGTTTTTTAGCCTTAGTCTCAACTTATATCGAAGATGTTGATTTAGAGAGTTAGTTTGAGTAATTTTTCTAATAGTGGTATAGAATCTTACGATCCTCAATCGGATACTAAGATCACGATCCTATGGATAGGATCCCGACCCTAACAACCTTGGAGAAAACTATGAAGATGCTCTTCATCTGTCGATTTGCCTAACTTTTATAAGAACCACATCTGATATGGTCTCACATCTGGTGGATGCAACAGAATCCAAGCACAATTTTATTACAACTATCAAGTATAACTCACTCTCTCATCTAGAAATCACAATGATCATCTCTCTCCCTCTCTCTCTCTCTATATATATATACATATATATATCAAATCAAGAAATCGACATGATGATTTTTCTTTGAATGCTCAAAAGTGAACAATAAATTATATTCACTATTCTATTGCAACCATCTCTCTACATCTATTCCTATGTATATGCATATATATATATATATATATAACGTCCATACATAGGCAAAGATCTCTAGATATATGTGTGGTATGACTCAAATGAGCGTAAAAAAACAGCTCACTAAATGTTCTGTTGTATTTCCAGTTGGCTTTATTTTATTTTAAGGTAACACTGGTTTTAGGTTTGGCCATTGACAGATGAAAGGAACACGTGCAGGTTGTATGAGGCGATAGATCCACTGGGGTGGAAGTGAAGAAATTAGAATTTTTAGAGAGAAAAGTTGGATAAATTCAAAAGAGACATGAACAGAAAATAAGGAAGCATACTGACTATATAGAGCTTCTTCTATTTAATATTAACATCTTTTCTTTTTTTCTTTAAAATTAATTAAGTAATGAAAAAATTAAAAATGTCATTCTCATATTTTTTTACCCTAGTCTACCAAACTCTCATAGGGGATAGAAACGTATTAAACACATAAATTCTATCTTACGACAAGCTTTAAGGGGTTAATTTAGCTTAGCCAATAAATGAAATTAAATTTTGTAGTGGATTACTTAAAAGCAATCCAATAAACATGTAATCAGGATGGCAATTTACCAAAGGTCCTTATAAAAAATCATCAAAAAGGGATTATATTGTGAATTGAACCTAAGGTCCCAATTGTGGACACAAACCAATCCAGACAAGCCTATAATGACACGGGCAGTAACAAAACCTTAGTAATGCATTTAGTCATCGCACTCATGAACTCTTTTGACCTTGTATCCTTAGAATTCAAAGCCTTTATTGCAGTTGTTCTTAAATTGGTACTTTTTACTTAATTTATGGCCACAAAAACATTTAGATATGAACTAAATGAAAACAGCAATAAATGCATTGAAACGACATTCTAATGTATCAGCTTTTATATATATATATATATATATTGGTTAATTAAATCTTACCAGAAATTGCATAATCTGCAAGGGGCAAGGGAGAAGGAAATTGACAACACCCTCTGATCAGATTGTAAACTTTAGATTTGGCGATTAAGAGAGTTGTTTTGTGATTGACAGATAACAAACCATAGATCAATAACATGTCTGTCCTTGATCTTTTGAAGGAGTTTGCCGCGGATTTGCCGGGGACCCTTCCAGATCCTCTGTTCTTGCTTGAAATCCTAGATTCCATCTGCACTCATTTAGAATGATATCAGTGCTTTTGTTCCAGAACAAAAAGAATTGCTTGTTTTGGCTGGGCAATCATTGTTAGCTTCATCTCCTTTTCTCTCACTAGTGTCATTTCAAGATATGTATACATATAAACAATACATACACAATTATTATATATAATACAGATATATAAATAGTTACTAATATGCAGTTATGCACATGAATACATAAGAATATATAAACTGGTGGCATTGGTTTGCTGGCCTGTATTCATCTAATCTAATCAGGTGATTTGTGTGGCATCATCTAAATTTGTTTGAACTTTAGTTTTTTTTTTTTAACTTTCCATTTTAGCCCACACTGGTAAATTTATCTTGTTATGCGATAGTTGATTTGTTTTAACTTGATTAGCATTATTTCTTTCCTTGGTTAACTTTTTGACACAAAACTGCACTGACAGGATATAGAGCAAAACAGATAGACGATATCTACAGCCTAGGAGTGCTGATCCTCCAATTACTAACAAAAAGGGATGGACTGTCAGACATTGCAGATCCAGATGCACCTGAGGATGTTTTACATATTGTTCAATGGGCTACGAAAGAAAGAAGCCAGAATGGGAATGTTGTACACCCTGATATAATGAAATCTGGGTGTAGTCGTCAGGATGCAGAAAATATTACCGATCTGGCACTGGAGTGCACGAAGGGACCACGTCAAAATGAAACCACCTATGAGGAAACAATTTTGCGCCCAAGCCTAGCTCATATTCTGGACGCACTCCAGCATTTCGAGGTTCAGACAAATCCTAGTTTCTTAAAAAAACTAGCTAAAAAATTGAGATGTTTCTCTTCCACTACATAAATGATACACATTACACACACAAATTGAGATGTTTCTTTTGACCTTGTATCTTTAGAATACAAAGATATGAATATTGGCAGCTCATATTAAGGACTTCTTCACTCACCTTTGCTTATGAGGGCGTGAGAGAAATAGAGATTTTTCGAGGGAGAGGAATCTCCAATTTGGGCTCTTAAATACAATGTACTGTCTCTTTTAATTTTTTTGGGCTTTTGGGAGTTATGGTAATTCTATGGAGGACCTCTTGGATTTTGTGGATAGCTTGAAACATTAGGGTCGCTTTGGGCGGTCGTTTTTTTGGGTTCGCTCCCCTTTCGATTGCTTTTAATGATATCTTACTTACCAAAAAATATATATTAAGGACCTCTAGACATGTAATATGTATCAAGTTGCATTGCGAAATATCGCATTGTATGCTAGTAGCTACACTTGAAACATAAAACTGATTATCTCTATAAAATTAGTCATGGGATTTTCTGTAACTTCATTTTCTGCATTTATGAGAATGAAAATATTCCTCTATTTGTGATCTAAAAATGAGCAAGTGTTGGCACATCCATCAGATGTATGTAGGGAAAGTCTTAAAAAATATCATTTTGAAATTAAGATTGATAGTTTCTTTATGGTAGGAGAAGATAAAATAGAACTTAGTTTAACTCGATAGGTTTTGGTAAAAAAGATGAAATAGTATGGACTTAAATAAAAAATCTTATTGACTTGATATAAATCAGCTATAGCTTATTTACTAATTTGGGAGTTCGATAAAATTGTAAGTATTAAGATTGAGAATCATAATTCTTTACAATTCAAATTCAGAATTTTATAATCATGCTTACAAGACTCAGAATTGACAGAAACCTACATTTGTCAGTTGATCATTACCAATAGAAAGTGGAGCGAAGTCCTGGGGAATTGTAACAACCAATGTGCCAGACCGAAACCTTCTCCATTATTGGAACAATATCGCTTCGCGTATTCTCAAAGCCAATCACTTTTAGGGACTTATAGGAATCTCATTCCCAGATTCATTCCGACAATTCTCGAAAGTAGCTTAAATATGTCTCACCTTGTTCTGGGAATCAAAGCTTCCACTTGACCAACCTAACTTCTTCTTTCTTATATCACATATATCGCCAAGTAACAGACTTGGTGAATAGCAAGTTCATAGAACAAAAATAAGTGAGATAAACTTTAAACTACAAGAGGGATGAGAAGTCAGTGGATCATCTCCTTCTTCATTGTCCGGTGGCTTGAAGTTGTTGGAATATGCTTCTAAGCATCTATAGGGTTCAGTGGGTTATGCCTCTTTCTACGAGAAGTAATCTTGAGGCTTGGAGAGAGGGCCTAGCGAGTGCTCGGAATGTTATGCATTTATGCTTTCGGTGGTCTTTGTGGAGGGAGAGGAAACTCCTATTAGTGTGCTTAATTTTTCTATAATCCACACTATTTTTTTGGCTTCGGGGGTGAAATTGTAGATCTGTAGGGGAGATAGCGGATTTTGTGGATACGTTGAGTGTGTAGGGGCCCTATTTAGTCCTTGTGTAGATTTTGGGATGCGCTCCACTCTTAAGGGTTGTTTATGATACTTTACTTATCAGAAGGAAAAAAAAAAAAACTTCCGATTGCAGGAGGCAGACCCCAACGGAACACTTCAGTTTAAATTCAAAATGCTAGTAATTAACGAAACTAAGCAATCATGTGCCATAGGCAGTACAAGACTTGTAGGAAATGCTAATGTTTTCAGAGCTATACTCAAGTCTAGTAATCAGGTTTTGCAGAATTCATGAAAGGCTGCAGAATGGAAGTATGGACATCAATGTTAAAAACCAATTATAAAGAGTCTGACCAAGACGCCAAAGGAAAAAAAAATATATATATATATATATATATATATACACACAGAAAGGACCCTCAGACCACCAGAGTGCAAATTTCTTATAAGCAGTTTTAAAAGCTGTAGGGTGTGAAGCCCCTCCAAAGATGGGAATACATGTGTGGACTTTCTCATTCGAGAAGAGTGAGCTTGGAGCACATGACTAAACAATAGAAAATCCTTCAAGGTGTCTGGAAGAAGAAAAATAAATAAACAAATAAATAATAAAAAATAAACAGCTGCAGGCAGGCTTAAGATACAAAGCTTGCCATAGAAAACCTCCATACAAAGGCTAAGAAAGAGATTCCAAAACTGACAATTGAGATCTTCTAAAATAAGCTACAATGAAATATATCTTACTTATCTAGGCCATAGAAAGCATGAATAAATGAAAAGGAAAAAATTACATGTTTCCACTCCATATGTTTGACAGAAGCTTTTACTGGCCCTAGGATTCTACCTCAGTCCAAGCTCTTGAGAAGAAATTTGTGAACGGAAAGTATAGTTGCCTTCTATATCCTTCAAATGTAAGACACGATTTTGTTTCATAACATTTACACTCTGTTTTAGAATTCATGAACCTAAACCCATAAAAATTGTACTCTTTAACAGAACTGACAAGTAAATTTTAGTTAAATATTAGTACGAGTAAGGCAACATATTCCAGGCAAAAATATGTTGAGGATATCAGCTGTTGCAGAGTTCTTAATATCATATTTTGCTTCTTCTGTTGAAAAGTATTTTGCAGGTTTTCAATGCAACTCATGTTTTATTCAAACGTTTGATATTTCACAGCTTCTATGTGGAGGAGCCTTGGCCTTTAATCATGGATTACACACTAAAAAATGCCCGTGCTTTATACTCTTTTTTATTTTTATTTTTAATTTGCAGGCTTTACATAGAGAGGAGGGATTATAAGATTACCAAGGTCATGTAAAATTTTATCCTCTTCTTTTTCCAGAAATTAATGTATATTTTAATGTATGTAACAATGAACTTTTGATATCTCTATTTTAGAAAATTTATCTTATTTGAATACGAGGATATTGGATTCAATTTCTTTTATAGACAAATTTTATTTCGGTATGCATCCAATGGAAGAACAAATGGGTCTTCTGAACTTTAAAATGAATAAAAATTTGGACTGCACCTTACATTGCACAAAGAAAATTTCATGAGGCAGTTTGTAATTGGCCAAAACAAGTCCAAGATCCGGAACTTGTGAGTTTAGAGCACATCCATCTACTCAGGTGGGCTAAACAAGGCATTTAGGTTGGTTAACCAAACTCAACCAAGACACAATCATATTTATGTTGCCCACACATTCAAATAAATGCGTAGGCAAAAAGGAAAGCAAAAACTAGAACGGAGAAAAAATGAATTCGTTCTAACCAGGTCAAAAGGGAAAAGCGAGAAGCACACGATACTCACTGGCATTTTCTCATCTCTCTCTCTCTATCAGCTCATTTATATCTCCTAGAGAATATGACACTTCACAAGGATTGTAAATTGATGGGTTGAAATCGGGAAAAATAATCAAATGCACGGACCAATATTATACCCATTATAATTACATGAATAAGATAGTCAGCAAAAATTAATGAGTCAATAATCTTAGAGCCACTCCCATGATTTGAGTGCTCGTCTCCTTAAAGAAGCTAGTTAAAGTTATTAAGTTACAATATCAAATTATTAAGACTCGTCGTCTCGCTTTGAATTCCAATTCCAGCAGTCTTTTCTCTTCTCTGTTTCGGGTAAGAGAGATTTTATTATCTGAAACCACCATATGGAGATGGAAGAAAAACCACTGGCAGTAACAACAAGAAGGACAGCAATACAACAACAACAAAACTACCCCAAAGAAAGCCCAATCTACTGCTAGAGAAACAGAAAACCCAAAGAAAGCCCAATCTACTGCTAAAGAAACAGAAAACAGAATAACTATACAGAGACGGAAGCCCAATTTCAACGGCTAGAGAAACAGAAAACAGACTAACTATACAGAAACAGAAGAAAAACCAAGCAGCAACAAGAACTTGCCAACTGGGGAACTAATCAAAGTGGGAGCAGCAAACCAGATAAACCATCAAAACAACCCTCAAAACCAACACACACAACCTCTGCAACAATTATCCATCCCGAATCTGAAAACATCTACCTAAATAATAAAACCAAGCAGACCAATCTGGATGAACATTACACCCACTGTATCAGAAATTACATAAAGCTTCCTTTTTTTAACATAAGATTCCAGCTTGCAAGTGCCAAGAAATCTGACTATGTGGAGGAGCTCATTAACCTGAAACGAAAGGTCTATAACGATCTTGATGATAGAATTAGCTCCGGTATATCAGCTCTCAAACCGCCTTTTATTCCTCTCGTTCCAAAATTGATACACAGTTGTTGAAAAGCAAGCTTATAAAGAGTATACATTCAATATATACCTTTATATGAATATGAACCTACTGCCAAAGAAATCGATGAATCCCAATCTGCAGCTCTCATTTTATTTCAAATACAATACCAAATTCTAAGGGAAAAAGAACAAGTGGTCGTGATACTCGCAAAAAGTCCTACAAAATGCACAACTAATGGAGCTAATAGTTCCATATTTCTAAGGGATTATCCTGAGTCAATAGTTTAGACTGAATCGGAAGAGATGTATAAAGCTGTGTCTGGGAATATAATTCAGAAACCAGGCCAATAATAATAATAAAAACTGAAGAATTGAGAAAAGAAGAGGCTCAAAGTCTCTAAGGAAATCAAATACAATAAAAACAGAGAAACATAATTACTTACGGAAAAAAGCAAGCGAGATCAGAACCAGGCGAGCATCAAGGAATGGTTCCGGCGTGATCAACAAAATATACCTTCTTCCAATCAGTTTCCGACTGTGAGAGGATTCATGAAACAATCAATCAAATAAAAAGAAATCAGTCTCTCTCTCTATATATAATAGAATTAAACATACCCAGAGAAAATTTAAAGAACAGATCTGTACAGATTAGACTGACGAGAGAAGAAGAAGAAGGTGGAGGAGATAAAAGAACATATCTTTACCAATTGAGAGAGAATAAGAAGAAAGGGTATGCAAACAGTGAAAATAACAGATCTTTAACTCTAAGAAAGAAAATAAAGAAGAAGAGATATTTATATATGTATCAACAAATATTTACAGATGATAAAGAGGAGGAGGAAACATACCCAATTGTTGCAATGAAAAGAACAGATCTTTACCAATGACAGGGAAGGAGGAAGAGATATATGCAAACGGTGAAAAGATCGTATTTTTACAATTGAGAGAGAGAAGGGAAGAAGAAAGGGTATCCAAATTTCTTTTGTGAAAACAATTGAACAGATGGTGCGAGCAGAGAGAAAGTAGATCCAGGCGGCGGGGGAGAATCCCGTCGTTCCAGCAGAACACAGATTGTTAAATTTTGGGATTTCTTTTGTTTTTTATTTTTTTATTATTATTTTTTTAATCTTTTCCTATCATAGAAATTTTGATATACGTTGAAATTTTGTTAAATTGACTAATCCGCCATGATTTGCTTGCATGACGTCACATGTCTGTGCACGTGAGGCAATTTTAACAGTACGTTCCAGTGCGACAGATCCGCTGCCAAATCTTGTCCGCCAATTTCCACTGCCTTAAATCTTGCCCAAATCTTGTCCGCTAATTTCCCTGCCTTAAATCCAGCGGCCAGAGAAGAGCCACGTCACCAAAATTAAAACACACGATATTATAAAAATGTTTTTTTTTTTTTTTTTTGTTTTTTTGGTCATTAACCCCATATACAGATATAAATTGGGTTTTATACAGAGGAAATGTTCGACAAAGTGATTCAATTTTAAGAAAAAAAAATGATGCTTGCGCTTTCTTGATTGTTAAATAATATAATGTTCTACAGAGTCTCAAGAGAATAATTTGTACTTGAATCATTAGATTAAATAAAATAATCATACTCTAAACCCACTATCTTTCTTTTTTTTTTTTTTTTACTACAAACTCACCGCCTATTTTACTTTCCACTATTAAAATTATCAATACCATCAATTTAATAATTAAGATAATTACCAAAAATCAAACCAAAAAAAAAAAATTTAGATCTAGAATTTTTGTAATAAAAATCAATATCACATCTTGTCACGCCCCAAAAATTCTAATACAAGAATCCCAACACAAGAACTAAAATCTAAGTACGTGACTTACATCATTTATCCACAATAATCCATAATTAAAATCAGTAAGAATAAATTTTATTTAAAAATCCATTCATCCAAAAGTATTAAAAAAAAAAAAGTATTTAGATCTAGAATTTTTGTAATAAAAATCAATATCACATCTTGTCACGCCCCAAAAATTCTAATACAAGAATTCCAACACAAGAACTAAAATTTAAGTACGTGACTTACATCATTCATCCACAATAATCCATAATTAAAATCAGTAAGAATAAATTTTATTTTAAAATCCATTCATCAAAAGAAATCTATTACATCCACCAACAAATTAAAATTCTACTAACTTAGTGAACCTTATTACAATATGTTTGCTAAGAAACAATAATAAAATCAATACGTGAAAATTTCGAAAAATCTCCACCTCCCATTTAGCCTCCTTTGCAAGTTAAATCCATATGCACCTGAAAGTGATAAATGGGTGAGCTCACAAGCTCAACAAAAAATTGCTAAACACTATAACTGTTAAGCAAGTCAATCTTTACTTATAATCCGTATATATATATATATATATATATATATATATATATATATATATATATATTCATATATAAGTGACCACGAAATATCTACAGTCATCAAACTAACTAATAATTAAATTGACTCAACTCTAATTGTGCCAACTATGACGTCCTTCAATAACATTAACTCAAATTGAAAACTTCTAACCCATTTAGAATTTAAATTACTAAAATTCTACTTATCTCACATGAGCCCCTGGTTCCTCTCAACCAGTTGGCGTTCTAATGCCATTAACTCGCATGAGCCCCTGGCTCCACTTCAATTAAATGGTATGAATTGCATAGTCTTGGACTACCAACTTCACACATATGGCTTGGTTGTATGTCTACTCGCCCAGATGGTCACTGACCACACGTCCACCTATTAAGGGCACCATTAATTCAATGGCCATAATAAAAAGAGTAATTCATTCCTGTAGACAGCCCCTGACCGAACTTAGCAAATCATAATTGTTTCATTCCACGGACTAAATCAATAATATTTATAACCATCAATCAAAACTGTTTATTAACTAAATTAAACATTTAATAAATAAACTGTAACAAAATGTTCAGATATACTTTAACTTAAAATATCTCATTAATACAAAGGTGGCCCAATAGTAGCCCCAAAGTGTCATACTTGAAAAGTGAACTTAAAAACCAAACCCGACTCAACACGCACTCCGAGTGGCCCATGCTTTTCTTACTCTCTAAGGGTATGTGTTGGTACGGTGGGTTTGAATGAGAAGGATAACATTAGTTATGAAAGAAAAGGAAAGAAATGGAAAGGAATGATAATTTTAACCTCCTATTGTGTTTGATTGATTAATGAAGGAAAAGAAAAGGAAGAATAATAATCATGTTTAGGAAAAGAAAGGAAAGGGAATTATTTTAATAAATTGACTATTATGCCCTTTTATATTTTAATATATATATATATATATATATATATATATATATATATATATATACATATATATCCCATACTTGCACAAGAAAAGAAAAAAAAAATAGGGCAAATCATTTTAGCCTCCCCAATCTCGCCTCCATCTCTATTCTCGTTCTCAACTCTGAACTTGCCCTCCCCCCTCTCTCTCTCAGTTTATCTATCTGTCTGCAAGAATCAAAAGTTCAAAACCCGGATCGGTATATCATTTCAAATTGTTCAGAAAATCAAAACCCACATCTTTCAGTTTCCATCGCCGTTGTTCCAGTTCGGGTTCACCGTCAGCCTCTGGCCCTCTTATTCTCTTTGCAACTGCTAACTTGTATGTATATTTTTTTGTAAACTTGTGTAATCTTGAGGGTAAAATTGGCATCACAACTCCTCCATCAGCCATTGCCTTCCCTTTCCTTCCATTTCCTCCCATTTTTGGGAGGATAAACAAATTACTGCACAAAGCTATACATAACCCTCCAAACCCTTCCCTCTCCTTTCCTTTTCTTCCACCCATTTTACCCAAACACAATTTTTTAATCACTCTCCATTACCTTCCCTTCCCTTTCCTCCCATTTCCACTCTACCAAATTGACCCTAAGTCTCGTATGAGGCTTCTATGCTTAAATTCTTCTATTTTATGGCTCAAAACACTCCAAAACCATGACCCATAATCTCTCTCATTGGCAGGCACTCTAATTTTGTGTGGTCACAAGTAACAACAATACTAAGAATTAATAATCGTAAATCAATAAAACCCTTGAAGACTCAACTGTATTTCATTCTATAGTGGAAATTTCTCTCTTTTTAATCATGGTGATCTCTTGCCTTGCACTAAGTGAGTCCCGGCTAATTTTCCACCCAGTCAATCAAATATATGATAAGGCTATAATTAGAAATGTGCCCAAAAAAACTAATTATGAAAGTCAATACCTAATTGCAGATCCTTAAACGCATCACTGTAGCAATCCTCTGAACTTACCATTGGTATACAACTTATCTGTAAATGATAATAATAATTTAAAAGCATAGATGTACATGCCAGCAACCAAATTGAATGATTAATTGAACTCCTTCTCCACCTATATATGTATGTAATTAAATACCATCATGTATCTCCAAATCCTTCTTCATTTCTATGTGCAGCGCATACACCACATCATGAGTTCATAGTTCTTTATTTAATAATTATCTCCAAATCAATGGTTCGACGTTCAAGTATTGTGTCTCAAGTAAATGTCAATCAGGTACAAAAAAAATTCTAAATAAAATGATTTAATCAATACAGACCACAATCAACCTATTTCTTGCTCATTCTCTTTATGCACCTATGGATTAAAATTTCAGACTAAGTATACCCATGAACACGAGGAATCATTGTCCGACACTACTTAGATTCCATGTATATATATATATAGACACACACACACACATACTATCACATCCATGTAATCGGCGACTATTTCATTGGACAATTTTAAGATATTTTGACTACATACTAAAATATCAAGATTCACTTTCTAATATCCATGCAATCCTACATAACATCAAAATAATTATTACCGCAAGCTTCTGCAAAGAAAACTACAAATAGATACGAATATATAAAGCAATATATATATATATATATATAGTTGCTAATCATAACATGAGAATTATAGCTTTAATTGATAGCATATTAGGTTGCATTGCATATAAGAGATCAAAAGCAAGAATTAACTTGCCTGAAAATAAAATCTGCTGAAGTGTCTTCGTTTATTTGAAATGATCGTGTAAAATTCAAGGAATAGTATTGTATGTATAACAGCGTAGGTAATGCAATGCCGATGCAATTAAGTCTAGATATATATCTAGTATAATGATAGTTTTATCTCCGTCGAATAATCTAATCATTTTTTATCGTAACTTTATCTCCTTTTATATATATATAAAACGTAAGTTAACTAGCTATATATATAACACGAGTCTTAAAAATCACAGTTGTTACACATCTCTTGGTCACAGGTCTTTGGAATAAAAATCAATACTAGGGTATCTATCACCGTCAGTTCTCTCTCTCAATGTTCTCATCTTTAAGGTAAAGATTGATTTTCTAATCAAAGGAAATAAAATTAATGGTTTTGGAATGTGACTGTTCACATATAAGTGTGGATAAATTCTTTTGCTAACCGATGAGCAAGAGATTACAACTCTATATATGATTTTTTCTATTAATTGTGACCGGATGGATTTGATTACTCGATTTGATCGAGTTGATGATGACAAAAAGTGATACCTGCGTGCACAAAAAGTGGTACTAAATGAACAATGTTTTTTCATATCCACATCAATATTTTGGTAAACTTTATTTATTTGGAACTATAAGATTTTAACTCCATCAAATGATAAATATGAATCACTAACACCTATAATAATCCCTAAAATGTTTCTCGCCTACAATTAGGATTAGGTTTTCCTTCTCTCTGATCCTTGCGCCTTCGCTTGGTGTTCACATAGCCCACAAATCTTCAATGAATACGTATTCCAACAATGCTACAAAAGCTGACTTGTGAGTAGGGCTGCAACTCGGGCGGGTTAGGCAAGCTTGGCACTCTTCTCGAGCTAGGCCCATTTAGAAAATCTTTAGCCCAAGCCCGCCTTAAGCCCGACCCGTGCTACCCAAGTCAAGCCCATACATAATTTGTCTAGCCCGATTCCGCACTAAGCCCATCTCAAAAGAATTTGTGTGTAAAAAAAAAAATCAATTAATATTGTACCAATGACTTGAAAGTGAAACCTTAAGCATAAATCTCAAGCATACTATCAACTTCGCTACTACACTCTTGTAAATTAAGTATAATTATAAATATATATAATATTTTCGGGCTCGGGTTGAGTTTCGGGCTTCATCCATATCAACCCAAGCCCAGGCCGAATTGAATTCGGACTTAAAATATATAACCCAGGCCCAAACCGAAATTAGAAAAACATTGCCTAAGTCTACAAAATTTCAGGCTGGACTCGGGTAATTTCGGGTTGGGCCCGCCCGAGTTGCAGCCCTACTTGTGAGGCACAACAAATTGGCCCAAACTCTTGAATAGACGGCCCAGTTAACACAAACCATTGGGGTCCATACCATTCCACTCGAACAACCCGTTTTTATCTCATGCCATAAATTGATTCATTCCGGCCTAATTAATTTCTTTTGAAGAAGGGCCATTAAGGGAAAAAAAAAAATTAGTTTAACTCACACATATCAACGGGAGCAGGAGTAGGAGCAGGAGCGCAGAGCGGAAAAACACATATTAAATATGAGAGTGTCACCCATTTTAAAGAATTGTGTGACTTATTAGGGTTCTTCCCTTTTGATCACTAACAAGTAACAAAGAGTTATGATAAAACCTCACATGTTTGCAGTAAACTGACATATTAAATGGAAATCAAAGGGACCATTAGGGTTTAGTAGTAATTTCAATTACATCCAATCTGCCCTTTATAAAAATATTTCAGTCCCTTACTCAACGGTTGCTCTTGGACTAAATAAATATGCATTCTCATATTCATCCGTCCAAACATTGGTAAGTGATTCGGAAGTTAGACTTTAACATCATATTGGAGTAGGACGTTAGAATATGTTTCATATATATATATATATAAATAAATTTAAATTTAATCATTTTGATTCATCCCTCTTGAGCAATCAAATTTTAAATGCATTCACATGTACATTATTGAATTATTCATGTACCAATAAAAGAGATGTTTGAATTCATTCACACAAACATTAGTCTTACTATTTGATTCACTTCAATTTGGATGAACTGTTTAAAGCTTACTCATCAAACATTAGTCTCACTATTTGATTCACCTCAATTTGGATGAACTGTTTTAAGCTTACTCAGAATTTATGAGATACAGTTGGTATGAATGAAATTTATTCAAGTTCAATATGATACATATTTAGGGGTGCACATTTAAATTTTGACATGAGGATCTCAGAACCAATGGATCCGTGCCATTGGGACCAATTTGCAATGTCTAAATAAACTATATATATATATAAAATTTGGATATTTATCTAAGTAGCGTGACTCTTTTCTAGAGACAATGTCATTTTGATCTCTTTTTATATTTATCTATTATACATACATGTAATGCAACGGACAGACCCATTAATAATATTTCAGAACTTGCTTTGCTTAAACTTTATGAATTCAAAATTGATTTATTATTCCTTCGCAAATGTTTGTAACTTCAACCCTTCATGAAATCAAAGAGGAGTTGCACGTGTCCTGTCAAACTATCAAACCAGTATATGTACACACATACTCATCAAAATATATATATGTATTTATGTACATACCGGTTTGATAATTTGACAGGAAACTTTTGTGTATATATATACACACACACACATAACTTGTGCACAATCCGTCGCCCTATCTAGTAATTTGGTAGGGTTCTAACACGTATTCTCACCATAACCAAAGAAACAAGATATCAAGTAATACGTTTTTCCTAATCAAACTGCAAGCCAATATCATCAATCAAACCCCTAGATCACAACACAAGGTATATTATGATACATTGCAACGAAATTACAACAAATAGCCGAAACACATGGTAACCGAGAAAGAGAAACACAATAATCAATGATAACAGTGTCACATAATTGCAACCATATTTTGTGACTACAATGTAATGCCATGGATCACACATTTATTAGGATGATCACCATATATACGAATAAATGAGGATGTATTACCATCACATGGTGACAAACACAATGTAGCCTCAAAATAATTGCACAGAAAAGTTGCAGACTTCAGAATATTGCCACGAGTCCGTTCCAGAAAACTTTCTTCCCAGCAAACTTCAAAATAATAATAATAATAATAATAATAAATAAAATAGGGGCTATACTAGCCTTGAGCTTTCCTGGTCAACAACACGGATTTTGTGCACAAAAAAATATTAGGTTGATCAAGGAATTGATCCTACCATTGAATACCTGCAGATTTCTACATTCACCATAAACACAAATAATCATACCATACAATTTAAATGGTATGAACCGTATGATTATGATATAAACATATAGATCAGTCTAGTCTCGTCATATAAGAAAAGGAAAATTAGATGAAAGTAGGTAATTCTAGTTACATGCAACATGTTGCAGTTATCAGAGTTTTCCAACATCATAAAGTTAGCTTGGAGACCATAGATCACTATTCAGAGGTAATTAAACTGAATTTTCTACCTGTAGAGGGCACCATTAGCACCTAGAAGCATCAGATTAATTACCCTTATCATTAAGGTGACGAAGAACATCTAAACTAAGCAAACATTGAACAACTTCTGGCATTTTTAGGCGAGATGTTAAGCTCAACCCTTGCACACAGCGGATCCCCAGCTTAGTAATTTTGTATCCATCTTTTTGACTGAAATTAGAATCTTTTTCAAGGCTACCGTGCACGACAGAGAACTTCAAGGGGCCAAAGCTAAAGAATAATTTCTTATGTTTCTTCTTCTTCTTCACATATTCAATATTGGCCCAACGGAATACAGGATTTGGACTCATTTGGCCCCTCTCATAGAGTCTTTTGGATATGAGCTCCAAAAGTACCGCGCCAAATGAATAGGCATCGTTTTTATCCAGCCATTTACCTGTTGAAGGGGTTTTTTAAAATAATCATTACAAAATAGAAAAAGATGGTAAGAAACGAAGCTAGTAGATGATGTCATCAGAATTCTATACAGGAAAAGACTGAAAAAATTTATGATCACTATTTGCCAATCTCTTTTGACATCAATTTTTTAAACAAAAAGTTTTACCCTTAAAGAACCAGGTTACTTAACCTTTTGTTTCTATTCTATGTGAGGGTCCACCACTAAATAGATTAGCACCAAACCATTTAAAAGTCAACAAAGAGGGTCCACCACAAAATAGATTAACACCAATCATATTTGAACAACTATTTTAAAAGGCAACAAAAGAGAACATTTAATCAGGCGCACCTGAAGTGCACCTTGGGATTCATGCTTCTAACAAATAGGCGCGCGCCTTTTTAAACCGGCTTCGCCTTAGTACATGCAAGGCGCTGAAGCTGCGCCTTGATGCACCTGACACATCAGGCGCGCACTTGGCGCGACTTTGACAACTATGCATCTACCTCTTGGAAAAGATGGGGTTTGGAGAGAGATGGAGGAAATGGATTGAATGTTGCATATCTAGTGTTCGGTTCTCTACTCGTTAATGGAGCCTCAACAGGATTCTTTGGTAGTTCGAGAGGGTTAAGACGGGGGGATCCGCTATCTCCTTTATTTTTCCTTATTGTAATGGAGGCTTTTAGTAGAATGATGACACGGGCTTCTTGAGAGGCTTTAGGGTGGGTAGGGATGCTGCTAGTTCCAATTTGGTTTCAAGTCATCTCTGGCTTGAAAGTCAATGTTGGAAAAAGTGTGTTAGTGCCAGTTGGAGAGGGTCCTGGTATTTTTACTTTGGCTCATGTTTGGGATGCAGCACTGGTTCTTTACCCATTTAGTATCTGGGTCTGCCTCTTGGGGATTCGTCTAGGAGGGTGGGCAGTTGGGATCTAGTAGATTTGAGAAAAGGTTGACTGGTTGGAAGAAGGGCTGCAAATGAACTGAGCTGTTCATGAAAAGCTCGGGCTTGACTCGTTAAAAGCTCGGTTCGGGTTTGTTCATTAAGTAAACAAGCCGAGTTCGAGCTAAATTTTTAGGCTCGTTTAGTAAACGAGCCGAGCTTGAGCAACACTAAGCTCGGCTCATGAACAAGCTTGTTAACTTAAATGCTCATTTGTATTATTATTTTACATTTAAAAGGTTTAAGCCCATATAAATATAAGTTTGGCTCTAACCCACCTCTATTCATTAATGAGGCCTAAGAATTTAAGTAGCCCATCATCTGAATATGATTTAATCCCAGCCACAAGAATTTAGCACATCACAGCCATTGGTTCTCTAAAGATAAAAATAAACCTAAAACAAAAGTCTACAACGGCACGCATCTTCTTCTTTAGCTCCACGATCCACGCTTCTTCTTCAGCTCCACAATCTCACCGGCAGTCCTCCACATGCTACACAGAGCGCGCTCTCTCCAACGGATCGTAAGGTATAGGAGGCAACATATTTGTAGATGGAGTTACAAAACATTGTAAGGTTTGATTTTATCTGTAGATCGAGTTGATAAACATGCTATTTCTTTTTCTTCTTGTTAGAGATGAAGATCTGTTGAATTTCTTTCTCCTCGGGGATTAAAATCGGATTTCATGGAAGAAATCACAATAATTTCTTGAATCGATAGTTGTTGGGTCACTTGGGTGCGCAACCGAGCTTGAGCCCAAGCTCATCTAATCTCTACCAAGCCGAGCCCGAGCTCGAGCCTGGCCAGCCAAGCCCGACCTAGCCAAGCTCGCCCGAGCACCTCTCTGAAGTTGACAAGCCGAGCCCGAGCAAGCCCAAGCTCGGCACGGCTCGATTCATTTGCAACCCTAGTTGGAAGAAAAAATACCTATCCAATGGGGGGAGGGTTACTCTCTTGAAGAGCACTTTGTCGAGTCTTTCTACGTACTTCCTTTCTATCTTTTAGATTCCATCTTCAATGGCTAAAAGGATTGGGAGGTTGCTGAGAAATTTTTTGTGGGGTGGTAAAGGGGAGGAGTTCAAGTATCATCTCGTGTGGTGGGAGAGGGTTTGCACCCCAATTCGAATAGGAGGCTTGGGTATCAGAAGATTAGTGCCTTTTAATAAGGCCTTATTAGGGAAATGGATTTGTAGGTTTGGAGTTGAGAGGCAAAGAATATGGAGGAGTGTGATTGTGAGCAGACATGGGGAGGCGAGGGGAGGTTGGTACTCCCATGAGGTGAGAATCCCATTTGGGGTTGGGGTTTGGAAGCACATTTGGAAGGGGTGGGACAATATCTCCAACCACATTAGATTTCGTGTCAGAAATGGGAGGGAAGATTTCTCCGAGCACATTAGATTTTGTGCCAGAAATGGGAGGAGGATACGTTTTTGGGATGATATTTGGTGTGGGGATCGCTCACTTGCTATCACTTTTCCTAGATTGCTACTGATACACATGCCATGGTGGTCGACTGCTATCGTCTTGGTAGTGGAAGAATGGTGTGGGATGTATCTCGAGATAGTTTCAGGATTGGGAGTTGGAGGATGTTTTTGGCTTTTTAGAGTTGTTGTATCGTCAGGAGATAGTAGAGGAGATCTCTAATTTTTGCATTTGGACGCCTTCTTCTCAAGGGCGTTTTGAGGTGCGGTCATTCTACTACTGTCTTGTGGATGCTGCTGGACCATCCTTTCCATGAAGGGCCGTTTGGCGAACAAAGGCACCTCTCAAAGTAGCGTTCTTTGCTTGGACATCCGTTTTGGGAAAGATTTTGATTCAGGACAATCTTCAGAGAAGGACAGATTGTGGTCAACTGGTGTTTTATGTGCAAGAATGATGGGGAGACGGTTGATCATCTTTTCTTAGATTGCCCAATGGCTCAAGATTTGTTGGTTTTTGTTTCTGGGTTTGTTTGGGATTCACTGGGCTATGCCACGGCCTACGGTGTCTACCAGAGGCTCTAAGCTCGGGATTCTTGGAGGGTTACTCCTTTATGCGTTTGGTGGTGTTTGTGGCTTGAAAGGAATACAAGATCCTTTGAAGGAAAGGAAAATCATATTGGTCGCTGAAGTTCTCCATTCTTAGCACTCTTTTTTGTTGGGTTCTAGGAAGAAATTGTAAATCCTTGGATGAGCTTGTAGAGTTTTTGGATTTGTTGAGGGTTTAGAGGCCTTATTTGGCCTTCTGTTGTTTTTGAGGGATGGGTTCCCCTTTTGAGCGCTTTTAATGAACTCTTACTTATCCAAAAAAAAAAAAAAAAAAAAGATGACTCCAGCTCATATTTTTATATCCAAGTCCTTAACATATCTGTAGCTTTCCCTAAACACTTGGAACACTTATGATATCTATACATACCATCAAACAAATTCTTTCTTTCTTTTTTTTTCCCCCTCTGATGTTTATTTTTTCACTTTTATTTTATTTATTGTGGACAAGCAAACACATTAAACAAATTCTACTGAACAGAACTTCACCAAATTTCAATAGACAATAGTAATAGCACTGAAAACATTTGAGATAATTGTTTTTCAAGACTTTCTCAAAGGTGGTTTTTCTCCATAGAAATTAAAAAACAAATAAATAAATAGTGGCTACAATCACCATTCAAGGTAGTGTTTAATGGAACAGATTTTTTGAACAAGTACAATTTGTAGGTTCTCACCTTTCTGACGACAAAAATCAATTAATTCCAGACAATATAATATAACATCTAGCACGAATGGAGCTAACACCAGCAATAGTAAAGAGATGAAATTTATCTGATCGGAAGTATGGTAAATTTCTTGTTCATACCAAACAGGAAGGATTCTAAGTTACTCTAGGTGGTGCTTGATGCAATTATTTTTTAAGGAAATATGCAAATCTTCACTTTAAAAGGTGCCTTTCATAAAAAATTCAGTCTCTATTATGACTTAAAATTCTAATCCCTTTTAAAATGAAACATTTCAGAGATATCTCAAAATCCGATATGAAGACACTGAGTTGATAATCTGAAGTCTATAGTTAAGCACCTGACTGGGATTTACTAAAAAGTCCCTTACGTTTTTTTAAAAAGTCCCTTGTGTTGACGAATGACGAGCAGAAGTAGAGATTTGACAAGGTCCAAGAGACTGGAGAGAACAAACGCCCAAAATCAGCGAAAGGGATCCATATAAAAATTATTCCTTTATGAAACAAGCAAAAACCTCAGCTCAAAGAAAATAAATTACTTCAAATATTCCTCAAAATGTTAAAATTTTACAATAGACCAGATTAAAGTTGAGTAAACAATCACGAGATCTCAAAATCCAGATCAGAATTAATAAATTAGACAACGAAAACATAAAGGACAAACTACCAGGACAAATATAGCATGATGCTTTCAAAGTTAGGTTTGACAAGTTTTGGAAGCACAAGGAAAGGGCTACAACCCCAATGCAATTAAGCAAGCCTTTTATATATATATTTTTTCCTTTGTAGTTTTCTGTTATTTAATTGTTCTGCTTTAAGTTTAATGTTTATTAAGACTCTAGAGGTGGACTGGCCCAAAGCCAGACTCATTGACATAATAAATGGGCACAGATTCGGCAGACTGATTTAAATTTTACAAAATGATAGAGCCTAGGTAGGCTCTTTGGGCCTCAATAAAAAATTTGGTTGCAAAAGCCCTAGCTTGATGCAACCAAAAAGGCCTATCCTAATATGTCATTTCAACTTCTATAAGATAATATATATATGTGTGTGTGTGTGCATGCGCGCGCACTTATATTACATCATTTGAAGGTTAATCTATCATAAAAAATTGTACAGTTAGAAGACAATTATAATTAATTTAAGTAATAACTATTTTCCAAATGAGAGGTTCTCGCTTTATTAGATTTAAACATCCTAATGTGTGTGTGTGTATATATATATATTTTAATAAGTGTATATAAATTCTATATGGAAGGAAAGGAGAAATCTTATATATCTTTTACGATTACACCCTCAATTCAAAAGCACGCAAAACAGTAAAGAATAATGATGTCACTTTACAGCATATACAATACTTATCTTTCCCTCCCCTCATCTCTATCTCTCCAGCTTGGGCTAGGAGAGAGGCCTCATCCTTCCAACCTCTCTCTCCAACTTTCTCTTACAATAAACAATTGAGACTTGCTCCATCCTTCCTCTCTTCCCACCACCCCTCTCCCTTCTGTCCTACCAATTGAAGATTAGCTTTTAAAAGTGTATGATTTAGTGTTCACAATTTCCAGTTGATTTGATATATGGATTTGCTTTTGATACATTTTATTGGATAAGTCAGGAGATTTGCATCAAACTCTTTGAACATTTATCTGTGGGGTTCAGAATTGAGTTGGAGCATGGTATTAACATCCTCGCCTAAACCTAGCCCAAATCTGATTAAATATATGGGTCAGACCAGGTTCCCGTGCATGGGATTTAAGGAACTAAAAATTATTTTCCAAACTAATTTCTTACCCTCCCATTACATCATCATCAATATCAATTTTTCTAACATCAATAAAGAAACTAAAAAAATGCAGAGATCTCTTAGAAGTTTTAAAAACAAATTAAAACAACTCAGATCACAGACAAAGATCAGCAAGTATCTCCTGCACAGACAACAGCAGGTGGTATCTCCATTAGTTCAGGGGATGAGTCCAGCTTATGGGCAACTACACAAGTTGGTCCACATGTTTCCAAATAAAAAAAATGGTCCACGATGGAGAAGCAAAAATGGGTTATGGCAAATGATATTACCAACAAACCAGGTATGTCGTCTTTCTCGAATTCTTGGAGCACTCTTTCTGCTCATTCTTCTGCTTCAACTCCTTGTGGGGTGTTGAGGATGTTTGCGGGGATGGATAACGGTGGTGGGTCTGATTCACGGAGGCTCACCTATTCTGGAGCATGTTACGGAGATTGTCTCGGCCGATACGATTGCGACTGACCCTGAAGGGGTTTTGTGCTCAGGGACTCTAGCTTGTTCTGCAGATGGGTTGTCTACCAGATTGGAGGATAGAGATGATGTTACAATTTGTGTGGGCTGGGATGTGCAGTTCCAGTTGACTAGTGAGGCTGCATCAATGCTGGTGAATAAGTTTCGGCTTCAGATTGCTTTGAATGGGATGAATTGTGATTCGATTGGGGAACTGGATGCTGTTTGTGATGATTCTGAAGGTGAGTTTGGCACTCCTCTTGCTGGCAGCTGTTCATCTATTGTTGCCATTGACGATTGGGAAGGGAGGTCATGTGCATTGATCGATGGGGATTGTTCCTTGGGAGGGCTGTGAGTTTTTGGCTGAGGAGTTTTACGTTCCTTTGGCAGTGATGAATGCTGAGGGAGTGAGGGATGAATGCGTTGATGTTGCGGGAGGGGAAGGGGGGACTGAAGGGGATTGGAATGAGGATGAAGTTGGGGCTGTAGGCAACCTTCTTGGAGTAACTTTTGATGGTGATCCTGTTCAGGCGGAAGGAATGTTCAATGATATTGATATGAACCAGCATGTTGGGGGGGGGGGGGGGGGGGGGGAGAGGGGGGTGGTGGTGGTGGGGTGGGGAAGGGAAGGACTCCATCTGGGAAAGGGGAGAGGAAGGTTAGGAGTTTAATATTGTATGTCAACTGTGAAGGGAAGAGTGTGGGGGTCAAGGGAGAGGGGAGGGATGAGGAGGAGGAAGGAGAACTCATTGGTATACTCGTGAAGTTACACATTATTTCACGGAATGTCCATGTTCTCAATGACCCGGAGAAAAGGAAGGTGGTGAAATTGGCAGTTTGCAAATGGGGTGTTCATGTGGTGTGTTTGTAGGAAATGAAATTTGGGTCGGTTTCAGATAAGGTGGATAGAAGTCTTTGTGTGTGTGTTTGGGGGGGTGTTTGTGGATTGGGTGGCGATTGATGCTATGGGGTCCTCAGGGGGCGCATTTTGGTGATGTGGGATAAAAGATGGGTGTCAAAGCTTGACGTGTGGATTGGATTCTTGGTGTCTTGTATGTTTTCTTTGAAGGAGGATGGATTTCGCTCGATCTTTTCAGGTGTTTATGGTCCTAAATCCTAATGAAGATGAGGTACGGTTGTTGTCGTGGGAGGAGCTTCGGGCAATCCGAAGGAGTTGGCCTATTCCATGGTGCATTGGAGGGGACTTTAACGTTATTAGATCCCCCACTGAGAGGTCGACAGGGAGGAGTGGACTTTGGCTATGGAACAGTTTTCGAACTTTATTTGATGATTCTCAGTTGATTGACTTACCATTAGATGCGGCGATGTTCACTTGGTCCAGTGGCAAAGTTTTTCTACGCTTTCTTGGTTGAATAGATTCCTTGTGTCTGGTGATTGGGAAGAGAAGTTTACAGATTTGGTGCAGGCGGCGTTGGCTAAACCAACTTCTGATCATATTCCTTTGGTTCTCGATTGTGTCTCCAAAACGAAGCTCTCTTTTTAGATTCGAGAATATGTGGCTTCGAGTAGAGGGTTTGTTCTTGGTGGGGCGGTTATGACGTGATTGGCACCCCAACCTTTATCCTTACGGGAAAATTGCGTCGATTGAAGGAATACACTAAAAGGCGGAATAAGGAAGAGTTTGGGACCCTGGAATGGAGAGAGAATCGAGCATTTACAGAGATTGCTGATATTGAGGGAGGTGTTGGATGGGGTTATATCGGATTCTCAAAATGCTTTTGTGGGAGGTCGCCAAATTCTTAATTCAGTTCTTATTGCTGGAGAATGCGTGGACTCTAGGCGGTGTAGTGGGGTTTCGGGGGTGCGGGTGCTTTGCAAGCTGGACATTGTAAAGGCCTATGTTTCTTGGAGCTTTCTTCTTTATCTGTTGGAAAGGATGGATTTCTGTTGGAAAGGATGTAAGAGAAGGAGAAGTTGGATTATGTTTTGCATTTCAAGTGTTCAATTCTCGGTCTTTGTGAATAGAGCTCCGACGGATTTCTTTTGCAGTTCGAGGGGTTTGAGGAATAGAGATTTGCTCTCCTCTATTCCTCATTGTGGTGGAGGCTCTTAGCAGAAGAATGCTGAGGAGGGCAGTGGATGTGGTCCTAAGGGGTTTTTAGGTAGGGAGAGACGCTCTTAGTCAGTTGGAGATTTCTCATTTGATGTTTGCTAATGATACTATGGTTTTTTGTGATGCGGATGTTTCTAAAATGAGATATTTGAGATGCGTTCTAATATGGTTTCAAGTTGTTTCCGGATTGAAGATTAATGTGGGAAAAAATGTTTTGGTTCCAGTGTTTTGGTTCCAGTTGGGGAGTATCTGATATTTCTGTTCTTGCTGATTAACTTAGGTTGTTGCATTGGCTCTTTCCCTATCTCTTATTTGGGGCTTCCTCTCGAGACGCCGTCGAGGAGAACGGGTTTTTGGGATCTAATGGTGGAGAGGTTTAAGATAAGGTTGGCAGGTTGGAAGAAGCAGTATTAGTTGAAAGATGAAGAGTGACTTTGATGAAAAGCACTTTATCGAGCCTTCCTACTTATTTCCTTTATATCTTTCATATTCCTTCTTCTGGGAGAAAGTGTGCACTCCGATTCGAAGAGGAGGCTTGGGAATTTGCAGGTTGGAAATGTTTAACAAAGCTCTGCTAGGGAAATGGCTATGGAGATTTGGGTGTGAAAGGTCCGTGCTGTGGAGGCGTGTTATTGCTTGTAGGTTTGGGGAAGAGGAGGTTGGGTGTCCAGAGGTGTGAATGCTTCAGCAGTTATGGGGTCATGGAAAGGTATTAGGAGGGGGTGGGACGAATTTTCTAAGCGGATACGGTTTCGAGTTAGGGATCGTCATTATGTGAGTTTTGGACGGATGTTTGGTGTGGGGATGGGGCATTCGATTGTAGGTTTCTTAGACTTTATAGGTTGGTTGAGGAGAAGTATGCGGTGGTGGCAGATTACTTTAGGTTAGAGAATGGGAGAGCTTGTTGGGATGTGAGATTTCGTAGAAATTTTAATGATTGGGAGGTGTTGGAGTTTACCAAATTAATGGGATTAATTTATAGTCAAGTGGTGGAGGGGGAAGGAAGGGATGAGATGGTGTGGATGGGGGATACTAGAGGGGTGTTTAAGGTGAGGCTGTTCTATAAAAGTCTTACAAATTTGATAAGCAACGGGTTTCCTTGGAAGGCTGTATGG